AATAAATAAAAATAAATAAATATAAATAAAAATAAATAAAAATAAATAAAAATAAATAAAAATAAATAAAAATAAATAAAAATAAATAAAAATAAATAAAAATAAATAAAAATAAATAAAAATAAATAAAAATAAATAAAAATAAATAAAAATAAATAAAAATAAATAAAAATAAATAAAAATAAATAAAAATAAATTAAAATAAATAAAAATAAATAAAAATAAATAAAAATAAATAAAAATAAATAAAAATAAATAAAAATAAATAAAAATAAATAAAAATAGTTAAACTAAAAAACTAAAATCATAAAAAATAAATAAATAAAAATAAATAAAAATAAATAAAAATAAATAAAAATAAATAAAAATAAATAAAAATAAATAAAAATAAATAAAAATAAATAAAAATAAATAAAAATAAATAAAAATAAATAAAAATAAATAAAAATAAATAAAAATAAATAAAAATAAATAAAAATAAATAAAAATAAATAAAAATAAATAAAAATAAATAAAAATAAATAAAAATAAATAAAAATAAATGAAAATAAATAAAAATAAATAAAAATAAATAAAAATAAATAAAAATAAATAAAAATAAATAAAAATAAATAAAAATAAATAAAAATAAATAAAAATAAATAAAAATAAATAAAAATAAATAAAAATAAATAAAAATTAATAAAAATAAATAAAAATAAATAAAAATAAATAAAAATAAATAAAAATAAATAAAATAAATAAAAATAAATAAAAATAAATAAAAATAAATAAAAATAAATAAAAATAAATAAAAATAAATAAAAATAAATAAAAATAAATAAATAAATAAAAATAAATAAAAATAATTAAAAATAAATAAAAATAAATGAAAATAAATAAAAATAAATAAAAATAAATAAAAATAAATAAAAATAAATAAAAATAAATAAAAATAAAAAAAATAAATAAAAATAAATAAAAATAAATAAAAATAAATAAAAATAAATAAAAACAAATAAAAATAAATAAAAATAAATAAAAATAAATAAAAATAAATAAAAATAAATAAAAATAAATAAAAATAAATAAAAATAAATAAAAATAAATAAAAATAAATAAAAATAAATAAAAATAAATAAAAATAAATAGGAATAAATAAAAATAAATAAAAATAGTTAAACTAAAAAACTAAAATCATAAAAAATAAATAAATAAAAATAAATAAAAATAATTAAACTAAAAAACCAAAATCATAAAAATAAATAAATAAAAACAAACAAAAATATATAAAAAAAATTAAAATAAAACCAAATAAAAAAGAACTAAATAAAATATTAAAAAATAAAATAAAAATGAAAATACAAATGAAAATAAAAATAAATAAAAAGATAAAAGTAAAAGAAAATAAATAAAAATAAATAAAATATAAATAAAAATAATTAAAACTAAAAAGTAAATAAATAAAACAAATAAAAATAAATAAAAATAATGAAAAAAATAATAAATAGTTAAAAAAAATTTAATATAAAAAATGTTAAAAAATAAATAAAAGATAAATGTAAAAGAAAATAAGTAAAATTAAATAAAAATAATTAAACTAAAAATCTAAAAATATAAAAAATAAATAAAAACAAATAAAAATAAATAAAAAATAAACAAAAAATTTAAATAAATAAAAATAACAAATAGTTAAAAATATTAAATAAAAATAGGGAATTTATTAAAAATAAAAATTAAACACAAGTGGGTGAAGGGACCATGTAACATTTTTTTCTTTTTCCGTGACAATATATTTTCAAATATAGAAGTTGCTAGTGTATAAAGAACCCATGTACTAGGGAATAACTGCCAAACAATAAACTTAAACACGAAATAACTAAAAATTATTTTGCTACATAGACCCTTCATCCACTTGTGTCTTCAAATGTAAATAAAAATAAATAAAAATAAAATTAAAATAAAAAATATTCATTTTTATTTATTTATTTTTAGTTATTTATAAAAAATAAAATGACAAGTATTTAAAAAAAATTAAATAAAAATAGATTATTAAAAATAGAAATTAATAAAAATAAATACATTTTTTAAAAATATTTGTCATTTTATTTTTTATAAATAATTAAATGAAAATTTTTTTATTTTAATTTTATTTTTATTCATTTTTGTTTTATTTTTATTTCTTTTTGTTTATTTTTATTTGTTTTTATTTATTTTTATTTATTTTTATTTAATTTTGTATTTTTAATAAATTACCTATTTTTATTTAATTTTTTTATATATTTGTATATATATTTTTTTATTTTTTTATTTTTTTTAATTATTTTTATTTTTTTTTATTAATTTTTATTTATTTATTTTCTTTTACACTTATCTTTTCAATTATTTTTGTTTCATTTTATTTATTTTTTAATATTTTTTATTTTTAATAATTTACCTATTTTTATTTAAATTTTTTAACTATTTATTTATTTATTATTTATTCAAATTTTCTGTTTAGTTTTTAATTATTTTTTTATTTTCATTTTTTTATTTATTTTTTGTTTTTAGTTTTTCAGTTTAATTATTTTTATTTTTATTTATTTTAATTTATTTTATTTATTTTTTTAAATATTTTATTTTTATTTTTTTTTAATAATTTATTATTTTTATTTATTTATTTTTACTTATTTTTATTTATTTTTTTAGTTTTAATTATTTTTATTTATTTGCTTTTACCTTTATCTTTTTATTTATTTTTTTTATTATCTTTATTTTTATTTTTAATTTTTTTTTTAGTTTTGTTTTCATTTTTATTTCTTTTTTTAATATTTTTATTTAGTACTTTTTTATTTGTTTTTATTTTTATTTATTTAATGGCATTTCAAGTGTTGACCAAACTGTCGTGATGTCGTTTTTATTAGTTCATTCCTCATATTTTTTATGTCAGTCAAGCTAATAAGTTTACTTCAAAATTTACCATATAAATTCGTATAATTAATTGAAAATTTCTAAATTAAAATTGCCATAACTTAAAAAAACAAAAAAAATAATGTTTCCTAAAAGAAATTTATATTTTTCTGAGTAAATAATAGGAAGAAACTACAAAATCATTGAATTTTCAGTTCGCTATGAAGTCATATATATCTCCTCTTAATTTCTAACCACCCTAACTCTGTCAGTTTTAATATTAGTTAAAAATGTCAAATATTGTTTTTATGTAAAACTTTATGCTTTACAATTTTTATTAAAAACTTTTTTTTATAGCACCTACGGTTTTTAAATAATCTTAAAAAACACTTAATTTTCTTGTTTTTTGACATTTGCCGGTGCCTGAAAAACAAAATTTTTTTACATACCGTTTTCAAATACTCCAAAGTGACTTATATCAAAAATTCCTGTATTTCCTCCAAAATTTTGATTTAAAGGTCTATTATTTGATTGGACTATTTTGATTATAGTTTATGACAGTATCAAATGATACATTTTAGGCATGGGAAAATAAGGGTTCCAGATTCCAAAAATCGGTCAAATTATTGAATCCGCAAATTTTTTGTCAGACTGACTTTCCTCCGGTTAGGATATGCCAGACTGTTATTTCGATTATTAAAATGATTCACTTTAATAAATGTTTAATATTTATGACTGGGAAAATAAATGGACGTGAACCCATCCAAAAATTTTAGCCAGACTCAAATTGTCGTTTTGTGTCACCATCCCAACAAACAATGTCACATTCACCGACTGCGAAAATAAGTATAAAAAAATTCACTGCCTCCTTGACTAAAAGTAATTTGTTGGATAATATAAATATGACTGATCTTATTTCTGAATTCTGAAGAAAGCGTATGTAAAGCTACTTTTATTTAGTGTTTTTATTTAAGCTTAGGTAACTTTATTTCTTGTTCAAAAAATTATTTATCTTTTGGTAATAAAATGTATATTTGTGTGCTTCAGTTGTATTATTTAATTAGCGAATACAATGTTCAATGTACATAGTACACATAAAATATAAAAAATATATGTACTAATTTAGCAAAAGGCGCAAATTTGCACGCACGGTGCTCAAGCGGGTAGAAGGTTTTTGTTATTATTAAATTTTATAAATAAATTCAAGTTACGATACTCTTTTCTATATTTTTAGTATAGCTGGTAGGTTTAAAATAATTTTACACAATATTAATTAAAAAAATGTATAATTCTCATTTTTGAAAATAGAAAATATAAAAATAGTGTGTCATTTGGAAACAATTATTAATAAATGTTTTCAATATTAGTAATAACTGATGATTATTAAATAGGTACTTTAGAAATGGTTTTATAATGAATTTAAAAACAATGTAATTATTTTTAGATTTAATAAATTTAGAAATGTTTGAATAATTAATAATTTTTACTTAAAAGAAAGTATATGTATACAAAGGTAACACAAAAAAATCGAATGGAAATGGTCTTTTTTAGTGACGTTTATGACAACTGAATTGTCAGTTCTGTTGCCTTTTACTGTTTTGATTTATATCACTTATGCACTCCACTTTTGGGTTCTAAGGTATTCCATAAGTGCTACTAGGACACAGTAACAAAATATATTTGGAACACACAATACTTAAAAATCAAAAATGAGCCTATTACCTTTATTATTAGTTTAGAACAAGAGAGTTAAATCTAAAAAAATCAAAATATAGGATAACAAATATCTCTGTAACGTTTGGATTTTCATAAAAAGATAAAGTGGGTATAGTATTTAGTATTTAAAATTAAATTTAGGTATCGTTAATATTTATTTTCCTGTTTTTATTATTATTAATTATAGCAAGTTTTCTATATTTTTTTTTATGAATTTTTTAAATTAAGTTATAAAAAGAAGTTAAAAAGGGCTTATATTTAAAAACTGGTCTAATAAGGTGTTAAAGGTGTTAAAAATATAATAATTTATGGCCCACCTTATTTTGTCTTAAAGCTACATTACTTTTAATTATTCATATAAAAATTGTGGTAAATTTAGTGCATTAGTTAAATAATAATAATTTATTAATACGTACTTGTTCTTGAAACGCCTCACAAACATGTAAAAGAACCAATATTGTAGCGACCAGGCCATTCTGTACACATTTCACGATCATTTTTATCAAGCGCTAAACGTCGACTAAATATTTTACGCACAGGTAAAAAATTAGTTCAACAATTGATTTACTCAATAATTGAGATTATCTTATCAATAATATGCGGTCTACAGCTTTATGTCAATAAAAACGGTGTACTTATTTATGATATACCAATATTGTATTTTATTTGCTTACTGCATTTATTATTAAAAATATGTAAATTTATCTTTATTTATTAGATAAAATTAACACGTTTTTTACCTAAAAATTTTTGTTGCAGATAAGAACCGTGCATGAATAATAGTATTGCTTATTCACTTATTCAGTATTTAATTAAATGAGCATGATGATATACTATACCGAAACAAGAAATGAAAATTTAGGCATCAAAGCCACTTTATAGTTCGCAATTTTCATTGCTCTTAAGTAAAATTACAATTCGTATTGCAGGTCTGCGCATTTCTGGCGTTAGACATGTATGTTTTATTTAATTATTATCTCTCTATTATTTTTTTATTGTCTCTCTATTATCTTTTTATTGTCATTCTATTATATCTCTACTATCTCCATAATATCTATCTATAGTAGAATCGCAATCGACACGGAGTAATAAATCAAAATTTTATATGAGTTTTACAGCACAGGCGGCTCAAACAAAATCTGTGATTTTAAACAGCTGGCAGTTATAAGGTGTGGTAATTTTAAAAATGTTACCTGTGCCGCCTGGTTTTTGTTGAACGTAACAATGGGCTACCCTTATTTTAATCCCTTTTAAGACTCTGATGACCGCACGGTTGGGTAAATTAGGGGGTATTTGTATTATTATTTTTTTTATTACTATTTTAAACCTAAATAATTGTAATTTAACCGCTGGGGTGCTTGTTTTAGGTGAGTCCTCTCGCCACTCACCCCTGAAAAAAAAATGTTTTTGGTTGGCGAAAGTCAATTTTTTGTTTTTGTGTTTTTTTGATGGTGTGACAATTAGGCTAATTTCGTATAAACTGACATATTGCCGTTAATAATTAATGCGGTAAAATAAATTATAGATAAAATGTTACCTATAAATAATGGTGCAACGTAAATAGGTGATAGGTTTTAGGTCTTAAGGGCGGGTTGTACAAAGAATGCTGTAAACTCAGTTTTGCTGACAGGAGTTCAATTTTAAACTGGTTATATTTAAAGTACAAATGTCATTTTTAAAACTACACACAACCAAACTTATATGGAATCATCTATTATTTTTCATAATTTTTGATATACATGAACATTTTTTATGCATAACACTTAGTCCTTTCCAAAGACTTTTAATGACAAATAACCCACATGTCAATAAAAATAATCGATTAGTTGACAAAATTTAAAGAGATTTAAATTTTTAATAGTCGAAAAGCAAAAACAAAAAGAAAATTGATAATTTTAACAATCCGTGTTACCACCTCTAGCCTTTATGTAAGCTTCTATTTGCCTTGGCATGCTTCTTATTAAATTGTCAACATTGTCTTGGGGTATGTTTTTTCATTCTGCTAATGCTGCATCAATAGGTTGTGCGACATTTCCTGCATTGCTTCGACGAGCTCTAGCCCTTCTTTTGAGCTGGTCCCACAAGTGTTCGATAGGATTTAGGTCTGATGAACATGCAGGCTAGTCTAAAACTCTGACATCTTTCGTTTCAAGACATTCTCTAATCACTCTACTGGTATGGGGAGATGCATTATCGTACATAAAGATAAAATTATTCCTAATTGCAACTCTTCAAAGCCTAATGATTATTTCTAGCACTAAATCAACATACCTCGGACCGGTTAAAGTTTGTTGAAGAGGTAACAATGAAGTTTTTGCTCTCGGCATGATACCTCCCCGGAACATTATAGTTCCTCCTTGATATCTTGGAACAGATCTGGCAGCGTGGAGTCTCGCTCACCTTCCTGAAGCTCTGAGAACCTGAATTCGATGGTCATCTGATCTTAGGCCAATTCTGGTCTCATCCGAAAAAATAACATTTTGCCAATTCTCAATTGTCTAGTTTTGCTGTTGAAGGCACCAATTTAGCGAGTCAATTTTATTTTGCCCAGATAACGGTGGGACTCGTTACTTCTTCTATACAACCCTCGAGCGCGAAGTCTTTTTCTTAGGGTTTCAACTGAAACATTCACACCCGCAGCTTCCAGAAGTTGTCGTTGTTGCTCTGGATGAGAAACATTAGGATGTATTCTAGCAATTTGGCACACAAAGCGCTCCTGTTGTCTGGGCCTGTTCTTGAGAGTTTCTAGTTCCAAGTACCTTTCATATGTTTTCGATATAACACCCTGGGTATCGCCTACTACCTATGCTATGTATCGTTCCTTATTCAATGAGAGCAATCATTTTTTCCCCTCTGCATATCTGTTAGTCCAACATAAGGCATTTTGTTGTTATTTGGACCGAAATAAAATTAGCGGAGGATCGTGATTTTACTTCTGAACACGCAATTCACAAGATAATAAATCGAAGCAGTCGTTTCTTCTTTATTGTCATGTTTGTTTTGAACAAAAAGCCTTATCCTAAAATTGGATACCAAACTTTTTCCTTGCAAAAAAGTTTATTCAGAATAACACAGTGATTCCGTATAAGTTTTTTTGTGTTTATGTTTAACAATAACCGATTATTATACAACTATGTTTCAACTAAGTTTACATTTTAACTGTCTATTGTACTAAGTTACAGGTTAAAAACGTCAAACTTTACGAATATGACACATGACAGTTACTAAATGCTGGCAATTAGGCATTCCAAACAAATGAATTACCAGTGGGCAGGTTTGGTATATCTAAGGGTGGCGACATACGGTGTATTCTATCTGCTTTACGTAAAATCATGAATAATGGATTACATTTAAATATTTTATGTCAAACACAATAAAAATAATATTTAAAAAACTCACTATTACATTTCTTCATAAATTGGCAGGTTTGGCCACTACTACTTCGAATAAAAATAGCGTCCAAGTTGCAAGACTATGTCGCTACCCCCTTAGATATACAAGAATTTCCCACTGGCACATATTGTTTGACAGGTCGTTGGAATGCCTAATGCGCTAGTTCAGTAATTGTAATTATGGTTCCACTGACAATTAGAGTGACAGTAGATTTTTTGAGATCGTTTTGTTTGTTTTGTTTATCTAAATTATATCATTTTTTTTTTCACTTTTATAAATATATTCCTAAAATAACTAGATAGCATGCATCAAATATACAATCGTTTAGTTACCAATTACATACCTTTAAACTATTTTTGATGACCTCTAAACAATATTTAGAAATAAACTAAAAACAGTAAAAACGTATATGTCAAATTTAATAATGTTTTTGTTGAAAGTTTGGTTAGAATTAAATGTCAGTGGAACCAAAATGACATCACACTGAACTAGCGTATACAAGAAGTGTCTGATATTTTATTATTTTTATTATTTAGTGGTGTTAGAACATTTATTGCATTAAAGTAGTTTCAGTAAATATTTCCTTATTTTTTGACACATTGCTTATAAAAAAATGTAATTGTATTTGTAGTTAAAAAGGCTTTCAAATAAAAAATAAATCAACCCATCCTTTCATTATATAAAAATTGGGGATGTACGCAACCCCTCTGATAATTAACAAGAAAATAAATATACTTCTTTGTAATATGCCCCATTCAAAATAAAAATTGACGTGTTTTAGAAATTTTGCAACAAACCTTCATTTGTTTAGTTTTACAATTTGTTCCAGTTAGACTTTCCATACAAAAAGGCACCTAAAATTATCGTTGATTTTTATGCGTAGGATCAGTCTGTGATTTCCAGAAAATGGGGGCCACATTGAACAATTTTTATAAATTAATTTAAGACTCGTTTTGACTATTAAACTTTGCATTACAGGCTATGCCATTTTTTTTTTGTTAATACACTTTTATTTTAAAAATTACAAAGATACAAAAAACTAAGGAAAATATCTTTTAGAAAAAACAATTTGATGTTTTCAGCGTGGTATCTAAAAACCATGGAGGTGTAACACTAATTGTTTCCCATAAGATGCGTGTTATTAAAAATGAACCCCACTGGGCGTGGTTTAAATGGTAGTCTAAGCAATCTCGTATTTAGTTTTAATTAAAGCTACCTGTGCGTATTTACATAAATTAAATATCTTAGATTTGTTTCAGCATGACTAATCCGAAATTAATCCAATATATTGCGCAAGTGTAACTTCTACAATATTTGTTGACCCTTTTGCGACTGAATTGGATTAAATAAATGTTGCTAAGACCACAGAAGACGTGAGTTGTTCTATATTCACTATCTCTATCGCCAAAAAATAACTTATAAACATTTAAATAATCAACTAATAATATTTATGTTTAAATACATTCCCAAAAATGTATACATATACGGTATTAATGTTAAACAAGCGATTCACCTACAAATTCAATATTGACCTGGCAATACCACTTAAATCCCAAGTTTCAAAGCTATATAACGCTGCCCTAATATTTATGGCATCACTGGCCGAGTTGGCATCGGGTATATTTTCAAATATAGAAACTGAAAATTAACTCTATTAAATTGTACCTTTACTTAACATTTGTGACGTCACTGGCGGAGTTGGCATGGGATATACTTTCAAATGCAGGTTTCAAGGTATTTTAGAACATAAACTGGCACAACAATTATTTACATTTCTTCATTCCTTACCGCGTGCGAACCATACAGTCAAAAGATATTAAAAAAAAACTACTTTAAAAATGAAGATGTTAATGATTTTCTCATGGATCCCATCTTCAGATCTTGACTAAATATACTTCATTAGAAATCTTCATTTGGTTTGACGTGTCTTCTACCTTTTGGATTTATGTCAATATTCCTGCAACCCCTTACGATTACAAGAAGTAAGTTTTGAATAATAACTTGATTTTCTGTTGAGGCAGACTGAGTTTGAAGTCTGGGGAGTCCAATCTCTAATGGAATATATATGGAACTATTACTTTTCTAGCAAACAGAGAATCATAGAAATCGAGCAACGCGGTAAAGAATTATCGCTCAACATACATTAAAAAATATTTCAAAGAATTGAGAATATCCTCCCATTTTGAAGTATGTTAATAAAGTGCAAAGTAGGGCGTGAACATATATTATAAAGTATATAAAATAATAGATAAAGCCAGTTTAGAAAGTTTAGAAAGAGTATTCTATGCAATTTAGAATGAAAGCTGATTAAAATTAAACACATGAACGACACGCTAAAAGGGTGTAAAATTAAAATAAAATATGTACCACGTACCAAGTAAATGAAGTAATATTTTTTAATTTTGAATCTTGAGAGATGCAGACATACTTGGATAATTTATATTAAACATGGTAACATGAAAGGTTTTCTGTCTAATTGTAAGTAACGACTAATAGTCTCGGCTGACAAAATGTAAAAAAATATCCAACCTAATATTCCTGGGCGAAACGCAACTGCCCAATATTTTGCACTACCCAGATTAAATTTACTTGTAGCAAATCAAATAAGTTGTCAGGTCACAAGCAAAATCTCGTGACTATAGCACTAATGATTGCCGAAAATTAACTAATTCATATGTTATGCCATATCTTTCTTAATAAGGACTTTCAGAACCATATTTGAATTTTTTTAACGTTTTTTATATATAATCATCCCTAAAAATGTATGACTTCCAACCTGAAACATCGTGTGAACTATTTGTTCGATCAATAAAAAACTTGCACCGATCCTGTCCGAGCCAGCACCGTTATGCGCATGAGCTCCGACACACTATTTTCTCCTTATGGTTTTATTTTTGATATATGGAATTGTCTTTCTATACTATTTCTATGGGTACATTATCTTATTTTTATCCCATGAAACTAAAGATAAGCTACATTCCAATCTTTTGTGTATAGCGAGATAGAGGCATCATCGGATGCAGAAGTGTATAGATTTTAAAGGGAAATATGAAAATTGGTTTGTGGGGATATAATATATGGCTGATCTTACATTTTCGTCAGATCTTCCGGTTTTCCGAAAATATAACGTACTTTGTTATTTTTAATATACAGTATCGAAACAAGTGAAAAATTCACTGATCGATTTTTTTTTCATTTATTTACACCTATATCGAGATGGTATTATTATATTTTGTATTTTTGTATAAATTAGTGTAAATAAATTAATTTATTATTATTACCAAACCAGAATTATGTTGTGCAGACTTATGTTGTTGTGCAGACTTCCCCAATAAATTAACGCACCATCGAAAAATAACAAAAAGTTTAAAGTAAATATTTGTCAAAATCACTTGTCTGTTTTGGACGATTTTTTTTTTAATGACAGGTTGCCTCTTCCACAACGTCGGTTTGCTAACTGTGTTTGCATAAAATCCTCTTTTTTATTAATACAGGGTGTAGCAATTATAGCGTGATTTTTTTCATAAAAGTTGTAACACCCTGTAGAGCGCAATAGTTACATTACCAAGTTCGCATTGATATCACAATTTAGCCTTATCTTCTCTTAACAATTTCATTTTTTATTTACTCCATTATGTTTCCTATTACACGAGAAACTCAATTTTATAACTTAACATGACTTTATTTATTTGCATTAGCATTGTAAGCACTAAAGTAAGTAGCATGCTATGGAAAAACCAGTAATTGTCAAATACAGATGCGTATTGTCAGTATTTAGTCCATTCGCCATTCTTTGCAAAAAAAATTATTAAACATTATGCCACGAAATCTTACTCGCGGAGAATATTGTTTGAAGAGGGTTGGAGCTACCGAATATTTGGTGAACGATTTGACGTAACCCACACAACCGTTTCACGAGTTATACAAAGATATAGAGAGACTGGAAATCATGGTCGTAGGCTGGGACAAGGAAGAAACCGAGTAACTACTCCGATTCAGGATCGATTTTTAAGACTGTCAGCATTAAGACAACGTTTTGTAACAGCTCGGACCCTTCAAACCCAGCTTCGGGATACTAATGGTTTAGAAGTTTGTACAGAAACTGTTCGTCAGCGACTAAGGGAACATAATTTGAGGCCTAGAATAGCTGCTCGAGGTCCAGTTCTAACTAGAGTTAATCGCAGAGCAAGGCTAAATTTTGCCAGACACCATCGTAACTGGTTAGAGGCTGAATGGCAATAGGTATTATTTACTGATGAGTATCGATTTTGTCTGTATAACAATGGCAGGCATATGCGCGTATACCGACGCCCTAATGAACGGTATGCTCAGTGTAATTTCTCACATACAACATTATTTGGAGGAGGATCTCTGATGGTCTGGGGAGGCATTTCTTTGACTGGTCGCACAGAACTTGTAATCTTAAATGGAAGCCTTACAGCTGACAGGTACATATTGGAGATTTTAGACGAACATGTAGTTCCATTTGCACCATATATAGGGCAAGGATTTTTGTTGATGCAAGATAATGCCAGGCCTCACAACTCGAGCAGAGTTGTGAGAAAATCTCTGGGATACTCTTGGGAGGAGATTACAAGAGGAACGTAATCTGAACTCTCTGGAAGATATACGGCAGAGACTGATTCAAATATGGGAAGAATTAGACCAAAATGACATAAGGGCTCTTATTTTAAGTATGGGCCCACCGTTGTCAAGAAGTTATTCGTGCCAGAGGCGGAAATACTCGCTACTGCCACTTATTTCGTTACATTTTGTTTCGTGTTTTCATTGTTAAATTTTGATATTAATTTTTAATAAAATCATGTTATTTTATAAAATAATGTATCTCGAATAATGACAAAGATAATGGAGTAAATAAAAAAAGAAATTGTTAAGAAAAGATAAGGCTACATTGTGAGATCAATTCTAACTTGGTAATGTAACTGTTGCACTCTACAGGGTGTTACAACTTTTATGAAAAAATCACGCTATAATTGATACAGCCTGTATTAATAAAAAAGAGGGTTTTATATAAACACAGTTAGCACACCGACGTTGTGGAAGAGACAATCTTTCATTTAAAAAAAAAAATCGTCCAAGTCAGACAAGTGGTTTTGACAAATATTTACTTTAAACTTTTTATTATTTTTTGATGGTGCGTTAATTTATTGGGGAAGTGTATATTTTATAATTTTTAAATATTTAAAGAGATTCTGAATATTTATCATGTTCTTAAAGTTAGTTATATTTTCGGAAAAACGGAAGAGCTTACAACCCCGTAAATACTACTTGAATCGACACAATTATACAACCCCCAAAAACGAAATTTCACAAATATCGTAGAAGTAGTTTCCGAAATAAATGCAGCGCTCTACACATTAGCCTTACTCTGTAGTAATAGAATTGGGTATAGAATAGGAGAATTTAAAAACGGTGATTATAAAAGTTTGGCATTACTACTCGTACACCGTTAGATTTTTTTTTATATACCTGTAATATATCAAATAATATGTTTGGAAAGAATTTGCTCAACTTTAATTAAAAACAGAACTCCGAGTAATATTGCTCGGTTGCGGCAAAAACTTTTTTTTAACCCAAAAAAGATATGTTCTTTAATTAGAGTAAAAATGTTGGTAAACGGATTTAACGAAATCCTCAGACTGTTTATACGATAAAAATAAAAAAACAATAAATTGTGGTAATAAAAATACTATAATTATCATCTTATATCTAAATTCTCTACAAAGATATACATAGATATTATTATTTTTATATAAATACCTTTTAATTAAGGAGGTGGTAGTATTCACAGAGCTGGGCAATTACATGTACTTTAAAAATAATTACAATTACAAAGTACTTTTTCAAAAAAGGAATTAATTACAAGTACAGATTACATGTTGTAAAAATAGGAATTATATTAATTTAATTACAATGGTATGAAAAAAGGAATTAGCAATTACTTTTATAATTATTTTTCTAATTACTTTGCCGATAAAACAACAAATTATGATAGAATTGAGGAACTATGAACCAACCAGACCGGTACAAATAAAATTTTTAAATAGGTAATTCAAAGTGTCAAACTAACAGCCGTTTGCAACGACTTTCTTAAGGATTTCTTAAAGTTAAAGATATCTTAGGGGTGGGTCGTATAAATCTTACTTTAAGTTAAACTCGGTTTGAGGTGACGCATGACAAATTTTGTATGGTAGGTACAGTCTAAATACCATTTAGCACTTAGGGCTTGTTTCCCAAAACATTAGACTGCACATATAGCATCGGAAATTGACATGTATCACCTAAAACTGAGCTTAATTTTAAGTAAGCTTTATACAACTATACTGTATACTGTATACTGAACCATTTAAGGTCTTCTTAACTTAAGGGAAAAGACAAAATCGATAAATAAAAAATGGAACAGGTAAGTTAATAATAAAATGTAAACTTTTAAAAGTTTATTGATTTTCAACAAAAATACAAAAGTCCGTGGACCTACGTCTAGCCTACTTTTATATTTTACCTAGTCTGAATTTTTGACAACCTCGTATTTGTTTTAATTAAACATTATGAGGTAGTAAATAAAAGGTAAATGGGATAGGAAGGAATAAGTTAGCTATTCAATTATGAATAGCTAGTTATAGTTAGCTGATCAATTATGAATAGTTTTGAAAGAAAAAATTTCAAAATTCAAAAATCTCATTTTTTAACAAAACAAGTCTGATAGATCAATGAAATTAGTTATTCAGGGAGAATGTAAAAATGTAATAAAATACAGGGTGTGCCACAAAACTTTAATACGCCACATTTTTAAAATAATTTTAAGAAGGTGGCTTTCCTCATCACATATACTTAAAAAATAGGAACCATTTTTAAACTTTATCGATTTGCTATAAACGTCAGAGGCGTGGTAAATTATCCTGTATAATGTGTTATTGTTATTGACAAATTATACTGAAACTGAAATAGTAGTTTATGGAGTTGTACAGTATATTTTTTGTACGACCCACTAACGAAAATCTGTAATATTTTAGGTTATTAAGACAAAATAACTAATTTTAAAATAATTTATGTTTTTTACTAATTCATAAAATAAAATAAACAAAAGAAAATTAATCCCTTTTCCAGATTTAAACCCAGGCTATTCGCATGGAAGGCAGATGCTCTGTCTACAGCTCCACCGCCACCTTATGATTTTGGTTTTAATACTCGTAATTAAACTAGTTTCATATAGTTTGAGTAAAATTTAATTTTTTTTTCAAATTGTGGCCCAAGTAAAAATAAATATGTTATTATTTATCGATTCTAAACAAAAATACCTTATTTAGTGTATATTTAATCTCAATAACTAAAAAATATACTGACAATTAGTTTGACAGAATAATTGTTACTTATTTAAAATTTTAAAACTAATAGTAGTTTGGTATCCAAAATATGAACTGTGATTGGTAAATTTTATTTTTTTCAGTGTTCTTACTACTTAGAATAGATATGAAATATATTTGTGCAGTTGAATGCAATAGCTTACTTTTTCTTTTTTAATCTGTGATAAGCTAATATCCCTGTAGGTATAGAAAAATATGTTATTTATACGCCCACATTTTAATGTAGAAAACTAGAATAATAACTAGAAATACCTACGCAACGTAAATAAGTAGTTTTTAGTATTTACCTAATAAAAACTGCTATTTGCATCACTTAATACTATATTTCCTTAGTTTATAATGTTTATGCAACATAAATTATGTTTATAATAATATAAATACAAAATACGTCTTAGAAATAAGGATATCTGCATCTACTTACCCCCTTACTGTTATTATTTTGGCTTTAAGGCACAACGCTTTCCTCAAATGCATTTAAGCAAATGATATGGATGCGAATTCGAGCTCTATTGACCGGTTCGAACTATTTTTATTTTTATAGGTTTATTATATTAAACATTATGTTTTTGTATCAGATGCATCTCACAAACAAGCATTTAAAAGTAATTGTAATAAAAAAATGTAATTGTACTTATAAATGTAATTGTAATTAGAAAAAGTAATTGTGAATAGAAAAGTAATTGTACTTATGGCAAGTAATTGTATTTAGACAATATAAAAAATATAAATTAATATAATTACAAAGTACAATTCCTTCGCAGATTTTGCTGCAATTACAATTCCAAATTACTTTGAGAGAAAAGGGTACTTAAATACAATTACAAATTACACGAAAAGAAAAGTAATTGTAATAATTAATTACTTTTTAACTAGGACCAGCTCTGAACTATTCAATAGGATCTTAAAAAACGGTCATTAAATGGTGGTGTAAATATGGTGTATAATTCCTTTAGATGCGCAGTGGGAAACAATCAGAATAATATTACCTAATGGTAGTCCTAATTTGAACTCCTGACTATTTGTGTCAAGTGTTAACTAGGTAACCTATTTTAAAACAAGTAATTTAAATCTCCCTAACTACACAGTATCAAACTAAAACAATATCATTTTATTTATTTAATATCACACAACAAGGCAACGCCTCTCAACGTCCAATGCCTGGGATTATGATCAGTTTCGAAATCAATAGATCCGACGTATTTTTGATCTGTCCTTTGAGGCTTCCTATATATGGGACATTCGTACAGCTTCGGGTCTTTGCCGGCTGTCGTGTTGATTGCGAAAATGTAGATAACCGGCATTTGTTCGTAGAGAACTTTCGCTTTGCTTTCTATCAGTTTTCCACTTCTTCTGTCCAAACCGGCGCCTTCCAGGAAGAGTCCGTGAACGTAGACGCCTTCGGCTGGTCCTTCTTTTACGTCTTCTTTGCCGTATCTGGTTATCAAGTTCTGGAGAACTACGGAATCCAACGCCCAACCTTTGTGCGCTCTGGTTACGTCCTGAAAAGAATACGTTTTTAATTTTTTGGCTTTTTTATTTTTCGGTTTTTTAAATTTTTTTATATTTTAAATTTTTTGGTTTTTTATTTTTTGTTTTTCTTTTAATTTTTTGTTTTTATTTTTTACTTGAATTGTAATATTGAAATATAGCTTACTAGATAGCAAAGGGGTGGGGGGCTAATGGTTAGAGTTACAATGAGTATACATGAGCAAAAAGGCGGCCCCCTTTATATTTTTTTTTGTCATATTTTTTCATAAAAGCCTCACCTTTAAAATTATTTAGAATGAGAAATTTTTATTAAAATATCCCTTATATTTCGTTGCAAATAAAAATGAAAACATTAAAAATGAATTCAATTGCATTATCTTCAAATTTCATTGCCAAGTGCTGTTTATATTTGGTTTAAACAAATTTAAACAAACAGATTTTTATCTAAACAAATTCACTATTATAATTTTTTGTCTGTCATTGTAAACAAAAAATGTTTAATTTTATATTCCTAAATAACAACAATAATAATGTTTATTAGTACGCCTATCATACAAGGTAAATCTAGAGTTTAAAAAATATTTAAATAACAAAGGATTAGAAGTGAAATTCAAAATATTTTGACAAATCTGTATCCAGTCATCAGATAATATAATAAAAATGTTTAATGTTATCACGATAATAAATGAAAAACGTTTGTTTACCTGTCTCATTGCGGTAAGAAATCCTTGTGGGTTAAAGAATCCGGTCATCCAAAATACTACAGGTTTCCCATTTTGGATCCAAGTTCTGAATTGTGCCTCTCTCTCCAAAAGTTCTGTGTACCAGAATCCTAACGTTGCTGATTCCCAAGAAATCTAAAACCGGAATAAAAGTAAAAGTATTAAAATTTTATTGCAAATAAAATACTGTATCTTACTTTTTGCCATTTTTCTGGAATCCTAGCATCGTACATTGAATCCAGGGAACATCTTAAGTTTTGGCTCATTACAATCGTTCCATCTATAGCCAATTTCAAATCAGTCAACGTTGATTTCACCTAAAAAACAAAATCCGATAATAAAAAACCAAAAAACTTTTGACTTTTTTATTTATACGCGTTTTCATATAGTGAAAGATAAACTCTTTACCTCTTTAAGTACTATCTGAATCCGATCAACTTCCTGCCTCAAAAATATGTTCATTGGTAGCAGAGGTCCCATGCGCTGCAAAGCTTCTTTTACTTCAAAACTATTGTACTGTTTCGGTAATTTTTCAAGCATGTCTTCAGCTAAACAGTAAACGACACTTTCTCTTGTTTCCCCACCGCCGCCACCACCTTCTTTAGGTTGGACGTTGAGAATTGTATCCAAAATACCTAAACAACAATTCTAATTAATAAGTTTGTATTGAAAACAAATTATAAAACTCCTACAAATTAAACCTAATACTACAAAAATTATACAAATGCTACAAATAATACAAAGGTTACAAATGCTACAAATACTACAAATGCTACAAATGCTACAAATGCTACAAATGCTACAAATGCTACAAATGCTACAAATGCTACAAATGCTACAAATGCTACAAATGCTACAAATGCTACAAATGCTACAAATGCTACAAATGCTACAAATTCTAGAAATTCTAGAAATTCTAGAAATTCTAGAAATTCTACAAATTCTACAAATGCTACAAATTATATAAATGACAACAACGCTACAAACGCTACAAATGATACAAATGCTACCAATGCTACAAATGCTTCAAATTTTATAAATGCTTTAAACGCTACTAATGATACTAATGATACAAATGCTACAAATGATACAAATGCTTCAAATAATTAAAATGCTACAAATTCTACAAATAGTGCAAATGCTACAACTGCTACCAATGCTACAACTACTACAACTGCTACAAATGCTACAAATGATACAGATGCTACAAATGCTACAAATGCTACAAATGCTACAAATGCTACAAATGCTACAAATGCTACAAATGCTACAAATGCTACAAATGCTACAAATGCTACAAATGCTACAAATGCTACAAATGATACAAATGCTACAAACGCTACAAATTATATAAATGCTACAAATTAAATAAATGCTACCAACGCTACAAATGATACGATACAATTGCTACAAATGATACAAATGCAACCAATGCTACTAATGCTACAAATGCAACAAATGATACAAGTTATACAAATGTTACAAATTATATAAATGCTACAAACGCTATAAATGTCACAAATTTACAAATGCTACAAATACTACAATTGCTATAAATTATATAAATGCTACAAACGCTACAAATGATACAAATGCTACCAATGCTAAAACTGCTACAAATTATTTAAATACTACCAACACTACAAATGATACAAATGCTACCAATGCTACTAATGCTACAAATGCAACAAATGATACAAATTATACAAATGCTACAAATTATATAAATGCTACAAACGCTATAAATGTCACAAATTTACAAATGCTACAAATACTACAATTGCTATAAATTATATAAATGCTCCAAACGCTACAAACGCTACAAACGATACAAACGCTACAAACGCTACAAATGCTACAAATGATACAAATGCTACCAATGCTACAAATAATATAAATACTACAAACTCTACAAATGATACAAATGATACAAATGATACAAATGATACAAATGATACAAATGATACAAATGATACAAATGATACAAATGATACAAATGATACAAATGATACAAATGATACAAATGATACGAATGATACGAATGATACGAATGATACGAATGATACGAATGATACGAATGATACGAATGATACGAATGATACGAATGATACGAATGATACGAATGATACGAATGATACGAATGATACGAATGATACGAATGATACGAATGATACGAATGATACGAATGATACGAATGACACGAATGACACGAATGATACGAATGATACGAATGATACGAATGATACGAATGATACGAATGATACGAATGATACGAATGATACGAATGATACGAATGATACGAATGATACGAATGATACGAATGATACGAATGATACGAATGATACGAATGATACGAATGATACGAATGATACGAATGATACGAATGATACGAATGATACGAATGATACGAATGATACGAATGATACGAATGATACGAATGATACGAATGATACGAATGATACGAATGATACGAATGATACGAATGATACGAATGATACGAATGATACGAATGATACGAATGATACGAATGATACGAATGATACGAATGATACGAATGATACGAATGATACGAATGATACGAATGATACGAATGATACGAATGATACGAATGATACGAATGATACGAATGATACGAATGATACGAATGATACGAATGATACGAATGATACGAATGATACGAATGATACGAATGATACGAATGATACGAATGATACGAATGATACGAATGATACGAATGATACGAATGATACGAATGATACGAATGATACGAATGATACGAATGATACGAATGATACGAATGATACGAATGATACGAATGATACGAATGATACGAATGATACGAATGATACGAATGATACGAATGATACGAATGATACGAATGATACGAATGATACGAATGATACGAATGATACGAATGATACGAATGATACGAATGATACGAATGATACGAATGATACGAATGATACGAATGATACGAATGATACAAATGATACAAATGATACAAATGATACAAATGATACAAATGATACAAATGATACAAATGATACAAATGATACAAATGATACAAATGATACAAATGATACAAATGATACAAATGATACAAATGATACAAATGATACAAATGATACAAATGATACAAATGATACAAATGATACAAATGATACAAATGATACAAATGATACAAATGATACAAATGATACAAATGATACAAATGATACAAATGATACAAATGATACAAATGATACAAATGATACAAATGATACAAATGATACAAATGATACAAATGATACAAATGATACAAATGATACAAATGATACAAATGATACAAATGATACAAATGATACAAATGATACAAATGATACAAATGATACAAATGATACAAATGATACAAATGATACAAATGATACAAATGATACAAATGATACAAATGATACAAATGATACAAATGATACAAATGATACAAATGATACAAATGATACAAATGATACAAATGATACAAATGATACAAATGATACAAATGATACAAATGATACAAATGATACAAATGATACAAATGATACAAATGATACAAATGATACAAATGATACAAATGATACAAATGATACAAATGATACAAATGATACAAATGTTACAAATGATACAAATGATACAAATGATACAAATGATACAAATGATACAAATGATACAAATGATACAAATGATACAAATGATACAAATGATACAAATGATACAAATGATACAAATGATACAAATGATACAAATGATACAAATGATACAAATGATACAAATAATACAAATGATGATACAAATGATACAAATAATACAAATGATGATACAAATGCTACAACTACTAAAAATGCTACAAATTAAAAAAGTGATACAAACGCTACAAATGTTACAAATCTTACAAATGATACAAATGTTACCAGTGTTATAAATGCTTCAAATTATATAAATGCTAAAAACGCTACAAATATTACAATTGCTACATATGCTACAAATGTTATAAGTGCTACAAATCCTTTAAATGCTAAAAATGGAACAGATGATACACATGATCCAATTAATACAAAATATACAAGTTAAACAACGGCTTGAAATGCTACAAATACTGCAAATGGTACGAATACTATAACTGATACAAATGTTACTTACAGCTCCTTCAAATACTACACATAAAAATAAAAAAGAAGCTAAAAAACTTAGCGAAAAGAAAATCATTTTCTGATAAAGGATCAAAAGTATCAGTGAATCAGGAAAAGCAGAAATCGAGCTGAGACTCATAATAGCCAAATAGGAATAGGATAATTTACCTTTGGCTGTGTTAATTTGATATGTAATATCAGCATTAGAATGCAACCCAAACACTTCGGGGCTATCTGTTGCTGGTAAGCTGTTAATGTAATCGATATACCCTTGCAGGTTTCTGGTCTGTGGCACTTTGTAGCCTTTGTAGAATTCGAATCCTGGTCTTAACAGTACATCGCAGAACCAAACCTTATAAAAATATAATTTAGAAATAATTAAAATTGTAAATGGATGATTTGTATTCAATTTTAGATCCTTTTCTAATTGACTTACTTGAGTAAACGTCGTCAAAAGTCTTTTATCAAAATCATCCGTCACTCTTCCGCCATATTGGACTTCTCCGAGCATGTAGCAGACAGTAGGCCATGAAACGCCCTTCTTTGGATCCATGTCATCCAAATGGTTTTGAATAAATTGAACACAAGCTGCCAAATCTGCCTGATTAAATTCATACGGTATGTTCCAACCTGCAAATTTTTATTATTTTAATTTTTTACATCATACAATTTAAATATTATTTCAAAGAGTTAAAATAGGTCATATCAGATGAATGATGTATATTTTGGTTAGTTTGGCAACACAGTACGTTTTTCTTATTCTACGCTTCATACAACTTTACCTAGAGGACCAAACTTTCTCCTTTCTTGAACAACGGTATGCAGAAAAGCTACGCCATACAACAGTGGTGGCCATTGAGACTGAGCAGAATAATCCAAGAAATCTTGGGTTATATTCTGGTACGTTCGCTTCATGCTAGCCCTTATTCCCTGGGGGGGCTCATTGGTGAACTTTATAGCCATTTGAAGCAGACCGATTGGAAACTGTTCATGGACTTCTGTTGTCAACCAAATTCTGAAAGTGTCTTCTATACTTTCTGTATCGACAATCATCGTCATCAGCTCCGTGGCGAACGGTAGAGACAAATGGATGTTCTGTAGGAGGACCCAACCACCGTTTGCCATTGAGTACTCTATCATGTCTCTTGCGACGACCTCTTGGCCCTGGCCCATGGAAACAGCTTTGAGTGCTGAAAACAGTAAAAATTACACGTTCAGGTCAGTTATTTTACAACAATAAACTGTAAAACAACAAGCACTATCACTGGAAAGTTTATGGCATGGTAAATGACGTAAAGTAGAACATTATCTACTTACTGATATCTTTGACTTTTGCCAATGCTGAAATTTGTGGTGATGGATCTGATCCAATCGATAGAATACATATGAGCGGGGATCTAGGTTCAGATTCACTCCAAGTTACCTCCAAGTCGAGGATGCATGGTTCTCCATATTCGGTTCCTAGTGAGTCTAAAATAATTAAATGTTAAAGATAATAATTTTTTTAAAAAACTCTCTTACTTAAATGGAAATGAACAAATAAAATGAGACAAATATAGAGAAACTCTATTCGTACCAAACGAATTATTTTGGAAATTTTTGAAATGAAAATATAAGTAGCATGAAAAGTAAAACTATGTTAAATCATTTTGAACATGATGTAGACTGTTGGCTGCTAACTTACCCATTATATATTTGCGAGCTTGGGACAGAGTTCTATCAGGGCTCCATGATCTTATTAACAGCAGTTTTCTGAATACGTCAAGACTTTTTTGGTAACCGCATGGTATATCTTCCTCTTCTGGTTTTTCTTTCTCATACCAAACACGCCATTCTTTTTCATTATTTTCAATCTGAAATTTGTTAATTAATAAAATTAGACACTCGCCCAATATTACACGCTGTCAAATGATATTTAAAAACAATATAGTAGGGAAACGGAAAATTATCATGTTTTACATATTTAATATTTTGAAAATACCATTTCTAGAAATATAATCTTTTAGGAATACCATTTTTAGGAATATTATTTTTTGGGAATACCGGTTTTTGGGAATACCATTTTTTGTATATACCATTTTTTGTATATACCATTTTTTGTATATACCATTTTTTGTATATACCATTTTTTGTATATACCATTTTTTGTATATACCATTTTTTGTATATACCATTTTTTGGGAATACCATTTTTCAAAAAAATACACTATTTTAGGAGTACCATATTTTAGGGATGTCAGCATTTTAGGTATACCATATTTTAGGAATAAAATGTTTTCATGGATATTTAGGCGCGGTTCACACTATAAAAAACTAACTCGTTAGTTAAAGGAACTAAGTACTTACTTTCGATAAAATTTCCGAAAAGATGGGCAACTTGTTGATTTCCACCAAATTTAACCATGTTATATCCAGCACCCACCTAAAGGGTTTCGGTTGGACAGCGTTGAGATCCAACGAAGCGCCACCTTTTATGAAGGCCATAAACTCTTCGTGCTTTATCGTACCTTCATGTAGATCTATCTTCATGGCCATCATCAAGGTAAACAAGGCCTTGTGCCTTTCATACAAGCTTCTTTGTGTAAAAGACCAAACCTAAAAAAGAAACGATTTGTTCTTGATCAATGATATTGCTTGTGGAATGGTCTTTCTTACTTCGTGTGTTAGGTATTTTAATATAATTTGAATTCTGTCGACTGTGACATTGCTTTTTTCTGATTTGGTAATCGAATTGTCGAACAGGATTAGAAACTGTTTGAGTGAATTTTGGTACATGACGTTTACGTTGCTCATTTCCACTGAAAATAAAAAAATGGTGAATTACATTCTTTAAAGTATGACTCCCAAGCTGACAGATAATATTCTGTATTACCTATAAGAAAATACAAAATTGATCCTCTTGCAGCAACAGCTCTAAATTCTTCTCTAGCAACGTTAATTTTCTTCTCAGTGGCCACTGACACGGTTAATTTCTGAGTTACTTCTTCAGCTGTGGTTTTGGTCACTTGCAACACGTTGATCAATTCTTCATCGTCCACTAGAGATCCTTGCGTGGAATTCAATCGACTTAGTAAATTAGTTTCCAACTCCTTCATCCTTCTCTGATTTTGCATGACGGATTCAAATAGAGCGACACGCTCAGCTTCCAGATCGGATTTTTCCATCAGAATGACTCTGCCTAAAAGCTGATCTTCCAGACCTAAAAAAAGTAAAAAATAAGGTGTTCTGCAAAATGGAAACTGATGTTTGAAATACAGAAAAATATTGCGGAGAATTACATTTTAAAAATTTACTAGTTAAAAAGTTAACCGAAGTAAGTGTAAACAAGTTTTTAAAAATATAAATGTCCCAGTTAGGGAAATCCTCTTGGTAAATTATGACAAGGCACAATGAGCTTAACTCGAAAAACAAAGTTGAAGGTCTCACAAACTCCAACTCTCTAACCCTACTTAGTGAAAGGCTAAAAAGTAGAAACCAAGTAAAATATCTAACTTACTAAGAACCAACAATTTTGGGAAAGCATGCGGATTTACCGAACATGGTCCACTGTTTATATTTAAATATAAGACACCCCTTACCTTCATCAGACTCTTTTAGATCAACTAAAACTGGAACGTGATAAATCATTAGGTAGAACAATACTTGCTTAGGGATCTCGTAAACGGATGGATCTAAAAGAAGCAATGAAACAGGCTCTGGTATAAATGGAGTTAAATCAAAATAATCATCTCACTGGAAAAACATACCGCTATATTTTAGGTTGAAATACATGCGATTGAATTATGTGCAAGAGAGAACCTAAAATGAGGCCCTTTCTTAAAATATAAGCAAGTCCAGGGTGGTCTGGAATTAACTTGAAATACCTAATGATCTGGCAACTCAGAATAAGGCACGACATAAAGTAATCCAAGGAAATGAAAATGATGATAAACTCGCCAAAGAGGGATCAAAAGTAACGTTTATAGGACCTGAACCTGTGTTTGGGATGTTATACCTCTGCTTAACAGGCAGTGAATAGGTAGAGAACAACTTAACACAGATGAAGACACAGAGTTATTAAGCTTACACTAAGACCAAATCTACACATCATTTTCAATCTACTGGCGGAACAAGGTATCCAGGAATATTTGGCAGAGAACCTATTAAATCTAACAAAAGATAGTACATAAATACAAGAGAAACAGAATACAATACTCGACCCAAAAGGCCGCAGTGTTCTGGGCTCTATCTACTTTTAACTGATGAGGATAAAGATAACTGCCTTTGTTAGACTCACTAGTTAGAAACCAAATTTAGTTATTCTGCAACCTTAAACCTTACAGCTAGGGAGAACTTTTAAAGATTTGACATACCCAACATTGTGACCGTAAAATCAATGATGGACGTCTTCGCGCTTATCTCCGGAGAATATGGAGGATTCGGTAGTTTCGTCGTTATGTATAACATAAATCCTTTCATAACATCGCACTCCTTATCTCCCACAATAACTTTTTCTATAGATCCTGATTTGATGAAATTTTTTTCTAGAACGTTGTCCAGTACCGGATCCAAATCTACGTCGATGTCTTCTATCAGTAACGGCTTTCCTAAATAAAAAAAAAGTTATGTCCTCTCACTCTACGTTAAGTCGGCTTCAAATATATTAAACAGTTTAATTCTAAACTAAAAGAAATAAATATATTGGCTTCGCCTGTTGATTTTAAACAAACACAACACCATTCTAAAACAAACTTTAGCACGTATCCAGACAAAAAAGGGGCCCGGGCACCCACTTACTCTGGAAAGCGATGTCGAAGAACTAAATGGGGCAATACTTGAGGCATATGAATCAATCTGCCCCATTCAAAAAAATAGAACTAGTAGAAAACCGTCATCTGTCAAACTTACGATCCGAAGTGCGGAAGCTCTATAATAGGGCCAAGCATAGCGGAGATTGGCAGAGCTACACCAAGGCGCTTACTACCTACAACAAACAAATCAGGAAAGCTAAACGTAACAGCTTTAGGAAATTCTTCGAGGATATTAACTCTACACCTACGGCAGCGAGACTGCACAGGGTCCTGGCAAAAGGCAGAGTTGATCCAGTTATGGCATTAAAGAAACCAAATGGAAGCTTTACGAAGAGTGAGGAGAAAAAAGCTTGCCTCTTACTCGAAACTCACTTTCCTGGAAGCACACCTTTTCTAATAAGGGAAACAACTAAGGTAAGCAGGCCCCCAAGAGATGCCGCTGTAGTAGCCAAACACATATGCAGCAGAAATTGGTTAAAGTGGACTGTAAATACTTTTAAACCGTTTAGGTCTCCAGGTGTGGATGGAATATTTCCTGCCCGGCTTCAGCAGGCACAGGAGGAATTACTACCACACATAATCCGGCTATCACGGAGCAGTCTAGAGCTGGGCTATATACCAGAAGCATGGAGAAGGGTCAGAGTCACCTTTATTCCAAAAGTAGGGTAAAAGGATATCACACATCCTAAATCCTTTCGACCAATCAGCTTCACATCCTTTGTATTAAAAACAATGGAGAAGGCTATTGATAATTATATCAGAACGGAAGTCCTGGAGAGGGTGCCACTCCACCACAGCCAACACACGTACCGAGCATAAAGATCTACAGAAACTGCCCTGGTACAGTTGACTGACGTAATCCAGGATGCACTGACAAACAAAGAAACGGTCGTGCGTGCCTTCCTAGGCGTAGAAGGAGCTTTTGACAACACGCCACACGAATCTGTAAAAAGAGCACTTGCATACAGAGGAGCAGCTAATATCACATCCAGATGGATGGCTTAGCTGTTATCTACGAGAACTGCAGAGACACAGATAGGGCAGGACATTATCTCCATCTGCACAACCAGAGGATATCCACAAGAAGGAGTTCTATCCCCACTAATGTGGAGCCTAATCGTAGACGAACTTCTATGCAGATTGACTGATCTCGGCATAACCTGTCAAGATTATGCCGACGACATAGTCATATTTGCTAGTGGCAAGTTTAGTAATATCCTGTGTGATAAAGTCCAACGAGGGCTAGAACATACCAAAAGATGGTGCCGTGAAGTGGAAATAACCCTGGACAACAAACTTCTCTGGAACACACATAAGAAGGAAGTAGTAAATAAGGCCACAAAAGCCCTAATGGCATGCAGAAACATTACAGGTAAACGATAGGGATGTAACCCAAATATACTGCGATAAATGTATACTGCAATAGTGAGACCAATCATCACTTACGGAGCTATAGCTTGGAGTAACAGAACTAGTTTAGCTACTACGAGAGCTAATATCTCAAAAGTACAAAGACTAGCCTGTGTTTGTATTACTGGTGCAATGAGAACCTGCCCTACGGCCGCAATGGAGGTGATCTTAAACCTCACCCCTCTAAATTTGATGATAGAGAATGTGGCAAAAAGGACACGATATAGAATGATCAGGAACGGAGTAATCAGACAAAAGTATACTTGCTTCAGGACTAAAGATACCTGGGACATGCCCCAGGATGAAATGCTAAAGCAGTACAGTTTTGTGAAAAACTTCAAAACCACAGAGCTGGGCTGCAAGAAAGAATGGAGCCAAGAATCCATCGCGCTTGCAACCGAAAGACGTGTTATTCAGTGGTAAACGGACGGTTCCAAAACCATAGAAGGAACTGGAACCAAGCACTCCGAAAGCTTGGGAAAATATCCATGCATCTTCCAGGCGGAAATTCACGCCATCGAGAAGTGTATCCAGTTTAACATCGAGAGAAACTATCATAGACAAGAGATTATCATCATGTCCGATAGTCAAGCAGCCATCAAAGCGCTGAGCTCTTACGTAATCAGCTCAAAAATGGTCTGGAGATGCCTAGAACAATTGAATGAGCTAGGCGAGAAGAATAGAGTTACTCTCACTTGGGTCCCGGGACATAACGGGGTACGGGGTAACGAGATTGCATATAGTCTTGCAAGGAAAGGGGCTTAAACACCCTTTGTAGGACCTGAGCCGTTGTGCGGTATCAGCAGTAACTTAATATTAGAATAGTTATGAGGATATCAAATAGAAGAGGGAGATTTACCTAACTTGAAGCCACTTCAAATCCTACACTTCCTTGAGAAAATAGGATTGGAAGGGTCGCTATAGACATTGAGACATTTCCTTAGTGCAGTGGCGACAGAAGGGGGCACAATAGATCTTTTAGGTCGCAGTGTATTAACACCCCATTCTCAACATAACATAACATAACATAACATAACCTTAATTTTAAAATAAAAAACAATTTAATCATTTATGTCACATATTTTCCTAAAAAAGCACAAAACATACAAAACACTGTTAACAAGCACATATTAACAAATAGTAACATTTAAAAATTATGTTTCTGATGTCAAGTAGAAATGCGCTGCGATCTTAATTTCAGATCCCAATTAACTAACTCTTAAATTCTAAATTGTAACCTACCTATAGAGAGACAATCTTCCAAATGCGTCCTAAAATATTTGTGATTCAAAGACGTAATCTGCAAACTGTTATTTGATTCTTTGCTCTTTATCCAAAGTTTTCCTTGGTTTTGAGGATCAATCAAGAGCGGATAGGATCTCGATTTGGTTACAATTAAAGCATTTTGAACGGATAATTCATCATTGGGTAGCCCTTGGAGGGTCCATTCAGATACCGTAGCATTTTCGACAAGCATATTCGTGATATTTAGATTCGTTGTAAACGGTATGGTGTGCTTCTGCAGAATCTCCATCCAGAATTTTACCAAATTCGCTCTAAATTCCTGATTGTATGGACCACAGTAAGAAAGGAATCCTGTTGCTAGAAGTACGTCTCCAACCAACCGACCTAAACAAAATGTATTGTACTGGAAGATATAGCATAATTTATTTCGTTTTCCCCTTACTCACTTAGTCAAATAAATAATTTAGATATATATAAGTAAGACTTACAGAGTTGTTCTTTGAATTCTTTGCTCTGTTGAGTCCATCTGACTTTCTCACCGCCTAGACCATTTATAAGAGCTGTGGCGGTATTCATTTTTCTCAAACAAGAGTTGGCAGCGTCAGTTAACCTTTGCTTTTCCATAACAGCATTATCGTACTGTTCTTTGACTTCTCTTAAAGACTGTTCTCTTTCTTCTAGTTGCTCTTCCGCGGCTGCTAAATCATCCATGGCGAGCTGTAAAAAATATGCTTAGGTATGACATGAGAAATAGAGAATAAACTTAACTTACCTTTAACCTTGCTTCTTGTAGTGCTAAATTAGCCTTAAGAGGCAAAACTTCTCTGTTAACTCCATGAAAGAAGGCCATGGCTTTTGTCCAGGAAAGAAGGCCAGCTACGTCACCGCAGACTCTCTTCGCCGTGTCCATATTGTAATCTTCCATTTCAAAATACGGTTGAAGCAAATCGACCATTTCGTTATTGATAATATCTTTGGGATAGTTTTGTAGTTGGAGCAAGAAAGTTGTCGATGCCATCATCTGCAAGAGTAGAAACTTTTAAGCATAAAAAGTGATATTTAAATTGGAGGTTATTTACCTTTAAAGATTCGGCCCAAGATGGTTTTGGACACGAAGCTGCTTGATCGCCAGACGTAGGTTGTAACTTTCTTTGAAATAAAATTAAAACGCAATCCATAATTCTCATTATAAGATGCGGTGGTCTTCCCAATTTCCTAACGGTTGCTAAAGAAAAAAAATGTACATTAAGAACCGATATTTGTGTTACTAAAAATTATTTTTAATTGCTACTAGAGGAACAAAATCAGAATTGAACGTTAATTGCAAATTGTTCAGTATAGCGATCTGGGATATAAATGATAAAGTTGAGGAGATGAGACAAGCAGGCGATAAAGAAGTAGTACGTAAAATCAGATAACAGACTAGGGCTTTGGAAAGAATGGAGGTGATCCAAAGATGTAGATACAATTGGGTTGGAGTGAAAAATTAAGTTACTCATCATATCAAAAAAAAAGTCTAAATGAATAATATCGAAATTACTCTACTGAAGTTTGTTTATTAAAAGTATACCAATATGAGCTGGTTTGATGGTGTTTAACGCAGCTTCAGCTTCTTCAAGCGCAGGTTTGGCAGCTTCTAGTTTCTCCTCAGCTTTAGCTTTCTCCTCGGCAATCGAGGCCACCAGAACTTCTGCTTTTTCTTTCACCTTCTGTACTTGGTTTTTAACGATTTCAGCTTGCATAGCTCTTTCAGTTACCTAAAAATACTAATATTTAATCAGCTATCTTTATGAATAAATATAAATTCCGGACCTCTATTAACACTCTCTCGGCTTTTTGTGACGCTTCAACGAGCTCTTTCTCCATAACGGCTAACTCCTTTTTTAGTACCAAAACAGACGACGAGGCCTCTGCCAATTTTTCTAACCCTGTATCCATCCTTAAGGCTCCATCGCTCAATTCAATTTGTTTATTACTGTAAATACTTTTGTAGCCTGCTATGAAATTCAAGTATGACTTTGGAGTGACGTGCGTAGCTCTCCTAAACCTGTAAAAGGAAGAAGTTTCGTTTTTAAACTAATTGGATATCCTGTTATTCAAGAAGATTGTAATACAAGAGCATTGACCTAGAAACCTAGGATATCCAAGATTTAATTTACCTTTGGAAATACTCCACAGATGTCAGAGACACAATATCCTGGATGGAGCCAAGCGCGGTGACTAGCTCTCCCTTAACTTCTTCGGAGCAGGCTATTTCAAAATCGCAAAGGAAATGTTGAGCCACAAGAATCAAAGCATCCTTTGGCCAAGGCTGGAACCAGTCAATGGTGCATCCTGATATTAATGCAGGGAATCGTAACGCTCTGTTCCTGAATTTTTCTCCAACCTTAAATAATGGATACATGTTTAAAGTACTCCAAAACATGAAAAAGAATAAGAAAGCTTACTGGCGAAAAACAAAAGACGACGTGAAGATTTTGGCAAGTCCTGTTCATAAAATATTCCATGACGACTTCATTGTTCAAAGAACGCTTTGGATTTTCCCGTTTCATAATAGGCGTCAGCTCTTGAATTATTTCGGCTTGATCATCTTTGGTAAACAAGTTGGATATAACTCCTGACGATAGAATATTGTTGAGATATTCCAAAAATCCTTCTTCCTTGATGTCTAAATCGGTAAAGATGAATGTGGTACCTTTACCTTGACATCCGCACGATCTGTAGAGTACTTTAAGATCTTCCAAGAAGTTTCCTATGTTGTAGGATCTTGTTAGAGCAATTTGGAATGTTTTGTATCCTGCTATGAAGGATGAGAGTTTTGTTAGAGATTGTTTTCCACTACCGCCGACACCTTGAAAATAAATAATAGATAATTATTGTGATAGAACGTCCCGTAGTATAGCAGCAGTTTCGTGAAAATTAATTGGTAAGCTTTATTTGTAAACCTCAAAAATAAATCGTTAGAATATGGCGCAGTCAGGAAGATTATGTTCTCTAATTCAAATCAAAGTTTATAGTATAAAAACTATCTAATTAATTATCTTACCAACAAGCATCACATTTCCTCTAGGATGTCTTATAACTCTGGATATCTTCACCAAATGTAGCATCGCATCCGGAAAGAACACCAAATCCATTCCGGATCCTCTTACCATTTCATTGAATTGGGCCAGAAACATGTCTAATCGTTCTCTAAGTTCATTATCATTTGTAACAGGTTCGTAAACTTTGGGTAGTTCCATATCTGCATCTTCCCCTTCTTCACCAGTCGGTTCTGGAGCATCTCTAAATAAAATTGTAGTGCTCGTTAACAAATAAGTACATACCAGAAAAAAGCTGATGACATTGTGTGGATTACTAGATTAAAGAAAGGTAGTTACAAGAATTGAAAGTACAGCGATAAATAAAGAAAGAAACTAATTACATATTAGGAAACAAGAAGAAGCATAGACATTAGCAGTTCAACAGCAGTAAGACTTGTAAGCGTATATTTGAGAACAGATTTAGGATTTTTATAAAGAAGAGAAGTGATTTAGAAAATAAATTTCCAATAACCTACCTCATGAAATCAACAAAAACGGGACTGGGCTCTGTCTTAATACGCATATCGCGTCCCAAATGTTCTTCTACCAAATTAAGCAGCGCTTCGTTGAACCAGTGTTTGTCCTCTTCTATGGTAAATCTATCTGAGAATACTCTGGTACATTCGTGCTTCCATAACACCATCATGCAACCTTCTGATTCTATCACGGTGGATAAGGTACCGATCTAAAAAGAATTGATATTAAAAATCCTTAAAAATTTTCTGATTTAAGTATTTATATGAATAGATATTTGGATATTGTTAGATGTTTTATAATTAGTTTTTTGAAATAAAATTCTTACCATTCCTTGCCAAATTTTAGACAAATCTCTCAGAGAAAACACGTAATGGAACTTAGCGGGCGTCGGCAATAATTTCATCCTTGTAGTTTTCCACAACAATCTAGTCAACGGTATCAGTTTCTTCACCAAATTCCTCACTTCCAGAGTAAACGCTCTTTTGACGTTGTAATGTCCTTGTGCAATAACTCCGAATATTTTATCTATTGACACCTCGTTCGGTAGAGGACAATTAAAAATACAAAATTGCCTTTTTAACCTAGATGGAATGTCGTTTTTACCACCACCAGGTTGTCCCATCGCGGCCACGAATTGTACGTCGTATATCGTCGTGAATTCGCCAGGTTTTTCCAAGCTGTAGAAACCTCCCATGTCCATTGTTTGCCTTACTATCTCGTTGGTTATCTAAAATGGCAAGAATCGTAAGAAAATACAAATTATTACCTTTTAGGTACTTTTTATTTTCAACTATTAATATTTATATAACTTATTGTATTTCTTAGGGAACAGTGGTTATCCACTTAGGACCTGTTTATATATACTTTTTGAAGGGGAACCTATGGAAAATACATCAGAATCTAATTAGAATACTGCACATAGAAGAACAAGAAATTTAAAAGAACGGTGTGATAGGGTTTTTAAAAATGAGATTTCGTTGTTTGTTCAAAGAGAAGACATTACACTATTTACCTAACACATCATGTAAAATTATAATTACATGCATTATGTTGCATAACATGTGCATAGTCTACAATATCCCCCCCTTTCCCGTTAATAAGGAACCAGTATAGGGTGAAATATCTACTGTGCAAGTTTGTTTTAGCCTAAAGTTATTTAACACCCTGTATATTCTAAACTAATTTTAAACTTTTTTTATAATTATAGTGACATAGAATAAGCGTAAATTGTTTGGACCAAAATATGAGGATTCGACCAAACATGCCTAAATAAAATGTTGCTGTGTTAAAGTTGAAATATTTTTTTCTCTTTCTGGTAATATATTCATGAATCTGTATCATATTTGGCATAACTTTAGGTAAGGAATATTATTTAATTTGTTTATTTTACATTTTAATACAAGGTGTGCCATATCAGCGATTCCTGATAATGAAATTGGGTTATACTTTTTTTTTACTATACTTTTTAGTAATTTTGATAAAAAAATATGATATAAACATAATTTTTATGTAAACTTGTTATACTTAATTTTTATACTTAATATTTTCAGCCTTTTTCGAGAAAAACGCAATCGAACACTTTATATGTCTCTGAAAAGGGCCTTTCAAATAGAAATAGTAGATAAACTTGTAATTCCGACTAATAAACAAAATAAACTCAATGTAAATGTTCTACTTGACATCCTCCTACTTCACCGCTTTTTCCAATTTGTCTTGATGAAAAAATATTAGCCGCATTTTGTATTTTTTCTCAGAGTTCATTTGTTAAAGGAATTTCATTGGGTAAAGTTAAGGGCTTCATATGTCCCCAAAATTAGAAACCCAGTGGATTGTAATCAGGATTTTTATACTCGAAATATCTTTTCTAAGCCTGAAATTATGTTTTTTATTCGAAATTACTAATAGTTTCGTCAAAAAAGGTATGACATGATATCCCCTGTAACAAAATATAAAATAATATTTAAGGTCTAAACATGAATTTTACCAATTTTAATAAATAAATTATTAAATACTAAAAAAAAAAACAAAAAAAAATATTTTAACATTGTCTTTTTCCAAAGCAACATTTTATTTTTTGAATTTAAAGTAGAAAAATAGATACATGTATGAGAGGTAAAAATAACTTTGATCGAAACAGAACATTTATTTATCAAAATACTTTCTCACCTGACTGTAAAAGTGGCATGTTATCTGTTTTGCTTGCTATTTGTAATTTGGGTACAAAGGAGGAGTGTGACCAACACATACTATGTCCCGGTGGTGGGAGCTGTCTTGTAACCTGTAAAATTCAAAATATTGTTTCGTATCAACAAAATTTGTTGCTTCCAATGAAATAATTAGACTTCTATAACATTAAAAAAAATCCCATTGCAAGCATTTTTTGTTGTCTGGTTTCCTACTTTCGGTGTAAATGTAGGAATTTTCCTACATCGAAGGTCTGTTCCAATAACAATCAGAAACCAGTCACTGACATCAGGATTATGCGCAGTTGACTATTTCAACTGCCAAATTATATACTGCGCAGAATCCTGGTGTCAGTGACTGGTTTTTAATCGTTGTTGGAACAGACCTAATTAGTAGCAAAACCGAATGACAGAAAATGCTTGCAAATGGTTTTTTTATTGTTATAGACGTCTATAAAGAAAGTATTTTATTGTCAGCAAAAAATTTAAAAAATCATCGGAAAGAAACATTATTTTGAATTTGACAGGTTTTACGACAGCTCATACCACCAGGACCTATTGTTCACCCCCCTCCCATGTACCCAACTATAAATAGCCAGCAAGAAATACTACATGTTACTTTTTACAGTAAAATAAGGGCCTAAAAGAACTGAAATCTTAACACTTCCACTATTTCATTGAGGTCCAAAATCTTCAAAACGAAACAATTGTAATCGAATTTTTGTTTGTGGAAGTGAGTTGATTTGTTGACGCCACATATTTTAACACATCTTTTCTTCCAATCAGATCTCTACTAAATGGTATTTCACATCGATATGAATAAAACTCAAGATTATAAGCAATTTAAATGGCACTCTGATTGCCGAACATTATTTCAGTTAAAGAATGTCCTGCAAACAATCCCAATTCTTTCAAAACCATGTGTAACCGTTACCTTTTGCAGGTAATTGCTGCTCTATTTGAAGTAAACACGAATCCTCTTCAAGACCTTTTTGTATCTATATACCCATCATAATCAGAGTCTATATAACTAACGGGACTATAATTTACTGCATGTAGTTGACATTTCTTATATACAATTTCAAAATATTTGGTACCTTGTAAATATCTAAAACTTTCTTAGCTGCTACCCAGTGATCATAGATAAAATTTAAAAATTGACACCACAGCAATAAATAAAATAATTTCTACAGCTTATATCTATGTCTCTCTACCATCATTATTATTAATTGGCAAATCTTATCAGATATATGGAAGAAACTAACCATGAACAGAAAACTGATATACTACATATCAAAATTTTTATGAAATGCAAATAGTGACCAAAGGACAAACAAAAACAAAAATTCAAAATAGATAACAACACTGCACAAGTGAACAAAAATAAATCATTGTAACAAGAGCATCGAAGTTCAGCCATTAATTGAGATAACTTCTCCCATTTTTACTTTCCTATCTGTATACAGATATAAGGAAAGTATAGGAATCATGATTTTTTTCGACCTCGAGTTTTCGACGGATTTTTACGTTTTGAGGTCCCCTGAATCCGTTTTGACTATTTTCGCGATGATGTCTGTGTGTGTGTGTGTGTGTGTGTCTGTGTGTGTGTGTGTGTGTGTGTGTGTGTGTGTGTGTGTGTCTGTATAACGCATAACTCATGAACCGATACACGGAAAAACACCAAATTTCAAACTTAAGCTTTATTCCAGCGTCTAATGAGCTGATTAGATTTTGGGCAGAGTCGGAACATCTGGGGGGGTACTTTATGGGTGGTCTTTTTTATATTTTATGGAATATATCTGTTATTTACGTTTGGAGAAGAAAATTCTTCAAATAAAAGTTACTTCTAATATAATTATCTATAATTTTTGTTCTATACAAAATTTTCCTAAAATGGTCCGTATTCGAGAAATTTGACAAAATGTAAAAAAAATTATTTTTTTATAAAAATTGTTCAAACAAAAGTTGTTTGTAATATAATTCTCTATAATTTTTGTCCCATAGATAATTTCTCTAAAATGGACCGTATTCGAGATATTTGAGAAAATGTGTAAATTTCGAAATTTGAAGAAAACTCAAAAACGGATAAAGAAAAAATCAATAAATTTTAAACTTAAGTTTTATTTCGGCCTGACGTGAAATGATTAGATTTTGGACAAAGTCGGAACATCTGGGGGGTACTTTATGGGAGGCCGTTTTTATATTTTATGGAATATATCTGTTATTTATGTTTGGAGAAGAAAATTGTTCAAATAAAAGTTACTTCTAATATTATTATCTTTAATTTTTGCCTCATGTAAAAATTTCCTGAAATGGTCCGTATTCGAGAAATTTGACAAAATGTGCAAAATTCTGATTTTTATGAAAATTGTTGAAATAAAAGTTGTTTGCGATATCGATCTCTATAATATTTGTTCATACATGATTTTTTTTTAAATGGACCGTAATAGAAAAATTGTAGGAAAAGTGCTAAATTTAAATTTTTCAGTATTTTCATTTTCAATGAATATCTATAGAAAAATGTTTCGCGGTAGATGCATGTGGACAATGTATATATTTAGTTTATCCTCTAAACATTTATAGAGATGCTGCAATAGGTTGTACACAATAAACGGAAAAAGCCTGTAATAACTAGATAGGAAAGTCATGTGTTGGACACATCAGATTTTTAGATTTGTCAGTACACATCTAATTTGGACTTCTTGTCGTACAGAACATTGATTACACATAAAATACATAAGCCATAATTCTAGAATATTTGTACAAGGCGCAGGAGGTAAAATGCTAATTCAGTACGAGAAGAAATTCTAGTTACATTAAAATCTTTGAAGAAGATCGGAGCAGTCAAAACTGTTACTAATTAATTTGCACAGGAATATAAGAGAATTTCAATTTGTCTTACTACTTGGACTGGATATTATGCCTGGTCAAAAGTGCATCTTGCATTTTGCCAATAATTTGCTGTTATCCAATTTAAAACTCAGAATCTTTAAAAATCGACGCTTAACAGATTCAAGCTTGTTCGTTTAAGTAGCGTAGTATGGACTTCAGATAATTGCCTGCGTAATCTAGATTAGAGCGAATAAATGCGTAATATTTGAGAATTATCTACCGATTCTTACAATGAAACAGTACAATTTAAACCTTAAAACTTTAGTTTTTTCGTTTTTTTCGATTTTTCGATTTTTCGATTTTTCGATTTTTCGATTTTTCGATTTTTCGATTTTTCGATTTTTCGATTTTTCGATTTTTCGATTTTTCGATTTTTCGATTTTTCGATTTTTCGATTTTTCGATTTTTCGATTTTTTTTTCGATTTTTCGATTTTTCGATTTTTCGATTTTTCGATTTTTCGATTTTTCGATTTTTCGATTTTTCGATTTTTCGATTTTTCGATTTTTCGATTTTTCGATTTTTCGATTTTTCGATTTTTCGATTTTTCGATTTTTCGATTGTTCGATTTTTCGATTTTTTGATTTTTCGATTTTTCGATTTTTCGATTTTTCGATTTTTCGATTTTTCGATTTTTCGATTTTTCGATTTTTCGATTTTTCGATTTTTCGATTTTTCGATTTTTCGATTTTCGATTTTTCGATTTTTCGATTTTTTGATTTTTCGATTTTTTTGATTTTTCGATTTTTCGATTTTTTGATTTTTCGATTTTTCGATTTTTTGATTTTTCGATTTTTTTATTTTTCGGAAATAACACCAGTACCCGTAGTTCTTTTAGGTTCAAGTTGTTTAAACGCTGAAAGAATTTCATATTGGATAAAATTATGTATAGATAAAGAATATTAATGCACTAAAACATCAAGAACGTCAATAACAACAGATGGAGGTGGGATAATATACGATTTACTAAATAAATCCGCAAAAGAGTCATTCAACTCGTTGCTTATATAATGCATTTTATTGGACACTGAAGTTGCTTCACGTCTTTGGTTAACAAACGCCTAGAATTTGTTTTGGTCTGAACATATCTTTAATTTAGCTGTCGTCACATGATCAAAATACGAGGTAGTAATAAAATCTGCGTACGCTATAATATTAAAATCAACAAGAATAAGTACTTTATTTCCAAATAGAAAATCAAAAGTCTAAAGCATCAAGCAGTACTGTAGTTGATACTGATAAAGTATTACAGTTGGAGGAATATAGATCAGTAAGATATAAAAGGTTCCAGTACTTAGATTTATTTTTGTCGCTAAAATATCCATAGATACCAGTTCAGAAAACGATTCGTATGAGCTAAAATCGACAAGATTAGATACAATAGTATATGGTCGAAAGCTACTAGTACACCCCCACCTTGTTTAAATATTTCTATCCGTTATAAATACTTTGTAGCTTCAGAATGTTCACTATCGAAAACAGAAAGAACCAGTTAGGTCTCAGTTAAAGCGACAACTTCAAAACAGTACTAAGTTAGATTATTTAGAAATTCCGTTGTCCTGGTCCGCAGACCTCGCATATTTTCATAAGAATCTGTGTTTCATAACTTGACACAAAACCACTATGGGGGGAGTGCGATAATAATACCTACTTGATCGCCCCAACAATTTATTTCTGGCAAGTTTATGTCATCTATAAACACAATCATTTTCTTTCCATTCGGTGGTCCGAACGTATTGCCCATTCTTTTTTCCACGTAGCTTTCGATGGTTTTCTGAAACTGGAAGGGACTGGTTGCGCTTGAAAAATTAAACGATCTATTTAAATATATCTCCCCGTTTGCATTTTTCATGAAACTTTTCATCATAACAGTTTTCGCCGTGCCTTGTTCCCCGATTATCAGCACAGCCTTTTCTTGTTTGGCTATGGTGTCGATGAGGAAATTTATTCTGACATTATCCGGAATGGGGATGAGAATCTGGGCGAATTCCGGCGTGGAGAGTTCTGGATAAACGTAATTTGTGACCATGGTATTCCAAGAGACCCATTCGCCTTCTAAGTTGACAACGTAGTCAAAGAGCGTTGCCTAGAAAAAAAATATATATTTTTTCTATAAGTCATTGATCCTTTGGGCATAGAAACTTACGTCAAGATGCTTTTTGTCATTGACAGGTAAATCCAAAAATGATAATTCTTCCCTGAAAAAGAGGTCGTATTTGAGTCTGTCTTCAGTTTCCAAATACGCTCCCATTCCCCAAACCAACGCGAAAACATAAAGCTTAGCCAAATGTTCTGATGTAAAAACTTTATCCTCTTCCACTTTTTCAACTTCTTCGACTATTTCATCTTCCAAATCTCCCGCGTCTGATTTCGAAGCGGAAATCTCTTCTTCGGAAACAATTTGCTTCGGTATCAGTCCTAAACAAAGTACATCACGATATTTCAGGCTTTTCTATTTCACAACTTACCTTCTAAAATCCTTATAATTTGCAAAGTGATATTGCACTGAAGAACCTCGATTACCAAACTCAAATTTTGCGTTCCCCAGCTGTACATCTTCGAAAACGATTCATCGAAAAGATGTTGAAATACTTCAATTTCTTTCGGACTTCTACTCTTTAACCAAGCTCTTATTACGGGCTTCCAGTTTAATCCAGAGGAGCTCATGTACACCATACCATTTCTTGAGACGGTAGCTGGAGATGCATTATCGATGTTGTGAGGTTCGAAGATGATTTTGCAAGTAGGCGACATGGAAAGTCTGTCACCGTTTGCTAGAGTCAGCGTTTTGTTGTCGTCAAGAACGGAATTTAAATTTTCGATCCAAATGCTATCAACTGGACCGTCTAGTACAAGCCATACGTGTTCACCTACATAAAATAGAATGTATTAACGTATCTATTTTTATTCCAGTATAGAAAGAAACATTCGACCAAAATTCAGAAGAAAATAAGTCTCTTTAGACGTAGCGAAAAAATATATTTCGAATACACACGATGTAAAACAGATGATGGGAGATTATGCCGGTTTTAAAGTTTTTAATTGTTTGGTATATGTCGTAAAAAGTTTGTTTTAAATTACAATACATTATTGACTGCACCAGAAGATGGAAAAAACATATCTAATGTTCTTTAAATAAAAACTGTGATCGATATTATAAGTGCTATCAATCGAGCATAAAAAGCTATATTATATCATTTCTGTGAGGAAGAAAAGAAAAAATCAATCCACGTTATGTAGCAATATGAAGGCCTGGATAAATTAAGGTTTCTAAAACTAGGTGAAAAATAGCCAAAAATATGTAATTACATTCGAAAGATACTAGATACTGTCAAAGTCTAAATAAAAAAAGAGTACAGTAAAAGTGGGGATATAATGTCACCTACCATAGGCGTACTTTGCAAAAGAAGTTTATATAAAATAAATAAGGTCACGGCATATAAAATGGTACACATGCACTTCGTAGATAAATGAAAAAAGTTATATTACGCTTCTGACAAAATGATGTACTTTAACACTGAACGAATTAAATTTAACCAATAAATAACAAGGAGGATTATATGTTGTTAATGCGATTAAACTTTTTTAATCTCTTGAAATTAAAAGTAACATTTTAGTACCTAAAATAAAAGATAAAAAAAAAATAAAAAGTTCAAGAACTATCTTTAAAAGTCACTGTCTTCACAATAACTACTGGTATAATTATCATTGTCTTTTTTAAAGTTTATTATTATAGGGTCGGTCTATTAAGTTTTCCATTGCTATATCCACTTTCCAAAATAAATATTTTACCTTTTTAACATGATCAATGCATTTTCTCCAATGTTCTCCATTTACATCTGCATTCAAAAACAAATTTCGTATATCAGGTAATTTAAATGTTGTATTGTTTCGAGAAACATAACCTTTTAATTGTGACCAGATCAGTTCAATGGAATTTAACTCTGTATAGTAAGAAGGCAATATGATAATTAAAATTCCTTCTTTTAGGGCAATCTCGTCTGTAATATATTTTGGAATTTGTTTATATATGTTGCCTAATAAGAGTAATTCGGGCTTCAAGGATTATATTTTTAAAATGAAGCCATTTTGAAATATGTTGTAGGTTGAAGGTAGTGACAAAATTTATAAAACAGCATATTAGCTAAAAACATTTCCGGAACATTCCTTCAACAGTAATAAACACAAAACTATTTGGTTCATTTGTAAATTGTATAAGATTTGTTGAATGCAGTTACAGAACAGTTACTACAAATTTACACAGACTTTAAACAAATGTTTTTTTTTAAACTTTTATAACTGTTTTAAAAATTTTCAATTTTGAGGTTGTGTTGCATATCAAAATCGGTAACATTTTAATTTTTGAATGCTTAGCAAGAATTACTGTTAATTATATAGCACATACAATACTAACTTTTTAAGCACCTCGAGTTTGATTCATATTTCTAATTTTTTTTTAGTGTAAAACAAAAATTGATATATGCAATTCGATTTTTTTTAGTAATAAGATTATGCTAATATTACAAATGATAGAAAATCTTTAATAAACATTGGTATTGTCTTATAAACTAGTAAAACCGACAGTAGTCTTAGATTTTTGCTAAATATGGCGGCTATTCAGGAAGTTATTTTAAGACAGAATCATATTTATAAAATAATATTGTCGAAATCAGCAATAATAATTAAGTTATATAAGTCATTCCTACAAAATAAGTTCACCATGGTTTGTTGTATAATAGTTTCAAATTGCAGCACTGTATGACTTAAAATATAACATAACTTTACCAATTCGTTTGTAATTTAAGTATTTGAGAATTAAAATGATTAGATTTGTTTCTACAGCTTTATAGGGCAAGTATAATTTATAATATTGCTAGAATAAGTAAGTTTAACATGCATGAACATCGCCAAAATTATGGCTTTCTTTTAGTATTGAGGCATGATTATTCAGAACAAAATTATTGTCTGGCTGAATGATTGGTACTTTTTGTTTAATTATATTAGACAAAACAGCAAAATGTTTTGCTAATAGTTTTTATTTACAATCATATATGTAATGCTGTCATTACTAACGTCATTGAAGGTTAGGAAGTGTCACATTACACGCCTCAACTTCTCGCCCTCATTTCATGAATATTTTGTATATTTAAAAATATCAGTTTTTTCTTCAATTTCTAACATCGTTCGTATCATACTGTACATTGCCCACAAAGTAGACGGCATCTTTTGTCTGGTATGTTCTCCAAAATATGCCAGGAGTACCTAGACTTTCGAAAATGATATTTTTGACCTTTTTTTTTCGCACCACTTCCTATATAATTCAATGACTTTTAGGTACCGATGCTTACTTTTTTCTGGCACCAAGCCCTGAGTAGCTATTCTTGAATTCGAGGGAATAGAAAACCGGTTTTTCCTCTATATCTGCAACGCACAAAATTTGTATTTTTGTCTCATTCTTCCCTCAAAATTTCTACTCCCTGGGATTTAAGAATAGATACCCTGGGCTGCTGCGTCAGCAGCCTGTCGTACAATTAATCATTTCTTCGTCGAAATACATTTTTTTCAATTTATTATTCGAGAATTTAATATCCGATTTTATCTGACGTTTATTGGCTTTATCTGACATTTATTTATATTGGTGACAATTGTTTAATCCGTAGTCACGGTAACAGTATATTTACTTGATTATTCCGAGAAATCCGCGTGCTTGGTAATTTGTCGTTAAATGTAATATTTTAGGTATGTTCAGAACAAAACAGAGATTTATTAATTTTGATCGAAATATGATGGTTTGAAATAAAATAGTATATAAACCGCGGTGGGAAGTTTCATTCCTGCCTCGAAATCAGGAATGAATCTCTTTCCACCTCGGTGTGTAATACCCCTGTATATATACCAATCAGTATTGGCACTCTGAGGCGGCACGTTTGATCTTTAAAAGTAGAAATTTTAGTTGACACTTGACGTTTTCGGGATATGAAAAGTTATCTTTACACGGACTTGTTGAATTTTTGTTCTGCTGCTTTTCAAATTCGTGTGTATGAGGGAGATGTGAGATACCTTTATAGACAACGGTTGAACAACTTAATTACTTTGAAGAAGAAAATAGATTAGATATCAGGGCAGTCTTCGCAAATGTAAGAAGGACAGAACCGTTTTTAATTTTTTTATATATGTGAAATATTACTTTTTGGTGAAAAGTTTAATTACTTTTAGTTCAAAATATAACGTTAGTTTGTCAAGGTTAGAGTAACAAAATAGAGGTATTGCTTTATTTCTTAGGAATTACTCTAATCTAAAACTTTTCTAGTATATTGTAAAAATTTATTCTATACGTTATTTAGGTACTGCCAAATCTATAGGAAAGTATGTAGTTTTAAATTTAAAAATTTGTAACGAAGACATATTTAGTGTAGTTTTTTTACAAATATATACTCAGTGACTTGTTTTTGTGAATGAGTTCAAGTATGGCAGACTAAAATCGTTATTTTTTATTATGAATTAATTTCAGTTTATTTTAAAATGGGAACTATATGTATATGGTTTTCGTAGTTTTTACACTTGTGATAAAAATATCAAAGTTATGTATATTGGCCATTTACTACACACAGCAAATTCATAGACACAATACACATTACTATTTGATATTCTTGTAAAACCACTAATTTAAAATTGACTTTAAACTAAGTGACTACACACAGAATTGTTAGAAAGCAGCCATAAGATATAATTTATTTATTGGATACTATAAAAAATTAATAGTAGTTACATGTAGAGTTAAGTAACAAGAAATTTATGACCAAAAACAAAACAAACCTTTATATCTAGTAAACTTAATTTGGATCTCGCTAAGAAACTCATTGGTAACAGCCATCAACTTGTTAAAAGGAGATATACTACTTGGATCTAAATCAAATAATTTTTTGTTACTTGGGTTTCTTAGATTAATCTTTGCCGCATTAACATTTATATAGTCAATCAATTCACAATCTTTGCACTTAAAATAGAGTACAGAATATATCACAGCCTGTTGCTTTCTTCTTTGTAAAAGAGATTTATTCTTAAAACTATTGAGCATAGTTTTATACGAGATCTTAGGTATAAGGGTACAAGTATTTTTTATAACATAAAGGTACCGTAAAAATATTTGTTGTACTTTTTCAATATGATCAATTTGTGTGGCTTCCAAGGGCATCCATATTTGTGAAACATACTCAAGATGGAGTATTACTAAGGCATTATATAATCTGATTTTGGTGGTAATCCTAAATTTTTTTGTATTTCTGATTTTAAAACCTAATGCTTTTATTGGTTTTTTAGTTATGTGTAAAAAATGGTTATTGAACTTCAAATTAGACTGAAAGACAACTCCCAAATCCTTTACCTCATATTCACGATTTAATGTGACATCACAGGTCTTATTTCTAATGTAAAACATTAAGAGGCTATGGATCCTTACACCTTAAAATATGCATACGTTGGTAAGTGTTAAATAGACGGATAAAAAGTGTTGATTTTTATTTACAACTATAATAAAAACCCATTAAAAAGATTAAGAGCAATAGAACATTTCAACAAATTTCTATAGGTACACATATTTTTGATACCTGATAATCAATAAATAATATATTTTTTGGAGTAGCAACAGGTTTATTAATACACAACTATTATTTTGTTACAAATACTTATAATATTTATAATTAACATAATAGTTGATATAAGTCCTTTAAAAATAATATATTTTGATTTAATTGTTGAATTTATACATGAGCAATTTTCCTTGTAGCGTTGTTTACGTTTTGCAGAGAAATATTGTATTCTGCTTTTAGCTGATAAATCATGTACATGTAAATGGGTTGAATGTAGACAATGTTAATGTTTTTGCTATTACTGCTGGCTAGGAATGCTGGGCTGGAACACCAACAAAAAAAAGGAAGCACAAAGCACTAGATGTTTTTATCACTTATACACGTACAATTTACAACCATTCAAGTAACTAGCATGTTAGAAATACTTCACGAAAACATATTAAACATAAATCAGTCGAAGAAAATCTATTTTCTTTTTATAACACACCTTTTTAGCTTGATTACTTTTAGAACTCTATTTATTACAATGTCCTCAAATAAAACGAGCAATAACTAGGATAAAACACACACTGAAGTGTATTTGGGGTATTTTTGATCTAAATCCACTATAAAAATAACAAATTTTCCGTTTTTTAGCTGTGAATGTATTACAAAAACTACTTAGATAAAATGTAAACAAAAGTTTATATTTGTGTACGAAATATGGGTTGCCTGCGCATGGTAGCGAGTTTTTAACCGGATTTATGACAAGTGATAGGTTATATCCCGAAAACGTCAGCGCAGTAAAAGCTGCGCGTCTTTTTCCCGCCCAGGGAGTGTCATGGGCCTGGTAATACACTATTACTATTCTCTGAAAAGCAGGTACCAATTATTTTTTATATTTTTTCACTTATTTAAATCTGACATTTTCATACACTCACATACAAACGGTATGGAAAGTAGTTAAACAAACATAAAATACAAATTATTATTTTATAGGCACTACCAAATGTAGTTGCTTTAATTTTTTTTATAAATATTTTTAAAGGGATATAATACTATTCCTAAGTAAAATTATTGAATAATAGTCTATATATAGTTTCTTGATTTGCAGAAGTGTATTTTGAGAGTTTTCATCAGAAGCAAATTGCTATTGACGCGGAATTATCTCACACTAATATTTATATAACTATTTTTTAAAGCGTTATTATTCTATGGTTATTATGCGCTTAAGAAATAGTTGTATTTGTATAGCCAAAAAGTTGTAAAGGCGATACAAAGCAACAATTTAGAATCACTATGAACCAATTTAATTTTATTAGCTGAAATGTTGTTTAGAATAGTTGTTTTGTAAAAATTTTATAGTTATCGTGGAAACTATTTTATAATTTTGTTGTAAGAATATTGTAAAAACTAATTTATATAACAATTTAGTTTCAGAGAACAAAATGGTGGTTTCTGCAAAAAATTATAATATATAGGGTGTACCAATAAAAACTCCCAGTCCGGATATTTTGGTAAGTAATAGAGATATGTTAATTCTGTAAAAGCCAGTTCACAGAACACTAGAGAGCTTCAGTTTTAGATATAAATTGATTTTAAATAGGTCAATATGTAGATGGCGCTGCGCTCAATAATTTTTTTTCGATGGATCTTTCTGGTGTAGCGCATCTTGTAAAAAATGCATTTTAAAGCAGATTTTGTTCAATGAACTAATTCCATAAATCCAGCCATTTTTGATATACAGAGTGGGTCCCTCAAAACAGTTTCATCCTATTTTTCAGCATTAATCATTGGATATTAAGAAAATGCTAAAACAGGTCGATTTTTATTCCAAATTGAAAACATTTTTAAAATACATACATCTGTCATGTGTCAACCCCCTCCCTTTCACTTTTCCAACACCTTAATTTTAAATAGATAATGTACCATGTATGGCACATTATTGAAAAGCTAATTTAATGGGAGATTTAGAAATTTTTCTGTACATTGCGTTACTTACATTTTATCGCCCTCTAGCGGGATAAAAAACTACAACGTATTATTGTGTGACACTACAATGTGTAGTACATCATTAAAAAGGTAATTTTATGGGGAATTTGGAAATATAACTGTTTATTTCAATACTTTTAATTTTACCGCCCTCTATCGGAATAAAAAACTGTACGTATTATGAAGTGTGACACCTTATTTGAAAGCAAATTTAATTACTAATTCAATGCAACACATAACAATTAAATATCCTTCATAATACTTTGAAAATTAGTCATGCATTATTTTAAACATTATTGCTAATTTTATTTGGTTGCAAGTGCAATATGGAAATATTTATATTAATGTTCTATTGTATATTAAATTAGTAATTAGATTAGCTTTCAAATGAAGTGTCACACTTTATAATACGTTACAGGTTTTTTTATCCCGATAGAGGGCGCTAAACTTAAAAGTATCGCAATAAACAGTCATATTTATGATTTTCTCATAAAATTACCTTTTCAATGATGTGCCGTATATGGTACATTCCTTATTTAAAATTAAGAGGTTGGAGAAGTGGAAGGGAGGGGGTTGACACATGACAAATATCTGTATTGTAAAAATATGTTTAATTTTAAATAAAAATTGACCTTTTACGCTATATAATAAAGATCCTCTTATCGAAAAAAATATATTGAGCGCAGCGCCATCTAGATATTGACATATTTAAAATTAATTTATATCTAAAACTGAAGATCTTCTACCGCTCTATGAACTGGCGTTCACATAATTAAAATATCTCTATTACTTACCAAAATATCCGGCCTGGGAGTTTTTATTGGTACACCCTGTATACCTACTAATATAAAATTCCGAATCTATTAAAATATATAAGATACGGCTATGAATAAATAAAGTCTGACTTATCTGTCAAATGAAAAGGGTTATTACAGTAAAAACCATGGAAACATGATTAAATCTAACCTAAAACTTTGATTAGGTCTATCCATTGAAATAGAATAAGGAGAAGATGCAATGACGAAGCTATCCTTTTTTCGTCAGCATTTTTTCATCAGTATTTTTTTCATTTTTTCATTTTTTTTCTCACAAACTTTTTTATCTACGTTTTTATCATCAATATTTTTTCATTGACATTCTTCCATTTTTTGTTTTTTTTTGACATTTTATCGACACATACTTTTCGTAAAAAGATTTTGTTAAGTAAAAAATTTAATGAAACATATTTTGAAGAAACACTGTTGATGAAAAAAGTTATAATTTTGAGCTAATTTGAGTTAATTTATCTACGAAAACCAACCAATTGTAAATATCTAACTTTATAGTAACTCGATGCTCGCCAAATATCGATGCGTTATGATAATTACTCGTAGTTTAATCAATGTAAAAGTTGATACTCGTACGAGTATATACAAGGTGGGCCAATGAAAACGGTTCACGTTTTTGCGAAATTATTAGCGACCGAGCAAATCAAGATCCACATTAACTATTTAACATTTGTTTTTCCGAAGAATGCTCTTTTTTGTCAATGGAACCGTAAACCGTCACAAAACTGTCGTTACTGGAGTGGTTGATGTAAATCCAAGTTGAACGTGTGGTCTGGTATTTTCGGAGACCTAATTGGAATTTTTTTTAGCCGGCACCCTAAATGGAGAAATTTATCTGGATCTGTTGGAACATTTCTTTAAACCTGCCATTACTCAATAGTGGTAGTATTTACCAAATCGAATAATGCTTCATCAGGACGACGCTCCTTCGCATTATACACAGCAGATAACGAGTGTAATTAGACCAAGCATTTCCAGGAAGGTGGATTGGTAGAAGGGGTGCTATTGAATGGTTACCAAGATCTCCAGATTTTTCTCCGTTACATTATTTTTTGTGGGGACACATAAAATCTAAGATCTACGCTATTCTACCAACTTGTTAACAAGTGAAATTTTTATAACATCAGAAATGATCCTTAATGTAAGAAATCGATTTGAGGAGAACTTGTATTACTGCATGGGAGTTAATGGTTAGCACTTTGAACATTTATTAAATTTATTTTAATTTCAACAAATAAACTTGAAATTTAAAATAAAAGATTGACATCTCATTTCACAAATGAGGCATCATTAAAAAGGTAATTGAAAGGCTTTAACAAGGTATCACTCAACCCCACTTTCTATTTAAGATTTTAAGAGTATGCAGCACCCTGTTCAAGTAGTTAAAGATAGAGGTTTAAAAATAAGTGTAAAGGGTTTCCTCCTCGATAATTAAATTGACGTGTTTTTTAATGACATTAACAATTCTAAACTTGAACCGTTTCGTTTTCGTTGGTCCACCCTCCATTTAGATAGCGTGGTCATTTTCTCCATTATGTCAAATAAACTAACAATATCTCATTTATACATGAAAGGAAGGATATTAAACGAATAATTTACCAGGTTTTGATTTTAATGTTTTTCTCCATAAAGCTGAGAATATTCCATCGGTCCAATCGTTGGTGGCGACATCCAGTCGACCAAACATTTGAGCAGCTGTGATTGATTTCGGATTCATTCTCATTTCTCTATAAAAAAATGTTATAAATTGTCGAAAAACATTTCTACTTAATGTTTAATAGACTTTTCGGTACACATTTGCGTAAGGTAAAATTACAAATTGGTAGCAGTTGAAAACTTAGAACTTTTTGTTCTATGATACAATAATATAATTATTTTAATAAAAATCATTTGCTGTAATCGTTCTGGCAGTGAAAAGCCCTGGCATCAAAGAAGGTACTGCGCCAAAGCTTCTGAGGCTTTTTTTTTCTTTCTCCTCTCAAACTCCATGTGGCCCAACTTCTCCTTAACATATATTATCTTATCTATTACAATACTACTGGATATCAGAAGTGCCAAGATCTACTTTATGTTCTTAGGAAGTTGGTGGTATCAATTTCACGCACAAGATTCATATGTAATATTGCTATAAAGTTTTGAAACACAAAATCATCGTTTGTAAATATTGCAAATATTATTTGACACTCATACAAATATTTTGAAAGCAATTAAACCACTTTCAAATTAAAATAAAAAACAGTTAAATTTTCGCCAGGTTGCAATTTTTTTTTTTGTATATCTACCTTGCAATATTATCTAAGATTTAGACAAAAACGCGTTTAAACTATAGAACGTGGCCGAAATTCTTGCAACAAAAGTCATTTTAAGCTTGCGCTTTTGTAACGTTCTTATTTTCTATAACGGCTTTTTTAAGATATAATGGAACTGCGGCAAAGTATTTTCATGTTCTACAAGTTAAGAATAAACAAAAAATTTGCAATTTTGCCTTACGCCAATAACACTTTAAAGTATCACTTGATTTCCTAGAAAGTTCTAGGAAAATATACACCTAACAAAACAATAAACTAATAAAAATGTGCTCTTTTTAGGTGAAAAGTGTCCTCTAGTAAAACTCAATACCTATGAAAGTCTCCCATTTGAGTTAGAGCTCTCATTAAAGTTTGTATGCACGTAGTTTTTCCTGCACCGGTGGGTCCTAGAGTCATAATTCCATGTCGTACCATTTGAGTTTCGTATAGCTTTTAAAATAAAAAAAAATATTCACATTGTACCAAAAAAGTTTTACTTCCGGCCTACCTGTATCAGTTTCAGACACCAAGAAGGATGATTCACCAATCCGGCTTGCTCTACTTGACCGATTATGGCTTCTTCAAGTTCTGGATAAGCCGTTTTTTCCAGTGTTTGATTAGGAAACAAGTCAGTTACCAGAGATAAAAATAGCGGTTCATCTTCGTCAATTAATTTTGATAGATTCATGTCCCTTAATACCCTCATAACTATTGTACTTTCTGAATCTTTATTATTCACTCGTTTAGCTGAACCAAGACTTCGTAATACAGAAAGTATGTTTCTCAGACCAAAGTCGTAGTGTACCTAGTTAAACATAAGTATATTATTTAAAATTTCACAGATATATTGATTTTTTTGCTCTTCGACATAACGTCTCACCATTAAACTTGTATTTAAACTTGCTGACCTGTTTTGTTAATTGTTCCTCGCAAAGTTTGTATAGAGTGTAAAATTTTCTTGCCAAAGTAATATTTTCCAGAAATCCACAACTGGCTAATTTTACTCTGATTATAATTTGTCTATCTGGCACCATCATGGCCACCGTTCGAAATTGTATTTTTAAATTTTCTGGAAGTTCTTTTCTTCCTGCATAACCAGGATTCTAAAAAAAAACAACAATAATAGGACCATAAGCTTAACAAAAATAAGAATATTATCGGGTAAAGGCCCAGGTCAATTAAGACTAGACCAAAATTCCTAACATTTGGAGAATAAAAATCAAGAGTCTGCAATCCCAATTAAAATCAACTGTATACCATAGTTATGAATATTCCGAACTCGGGGCACATTTCTATAATATCACCATCGGTAAACTGGAACGATTTCTTTTTTTCTTTTTTACTCGCCAGCACCACAGCTACTTGTTGCGCAGCAACTGACAAAACTGGCAATTCTATACGATTGAATTCATCAAAGCAGCCCCAAGATCCAGACTGAGCTAGTCCTAAAAACGTTTAAAGATTAGTTTTTGAGAAATACTTAAAAATAAACGATTTTTGTATACCTTTATATATGCGCCCCAATCCGCGATAGTCCATTTGATCGGAACAGTTGAACACCACGACGTACTTGGCAAGTGTTTTACCCATGTCTTTAACCGTTTCTGTTTTACCCGTACCTGCAGGACCACATGGGGCTCCGCCCATGCTCATGGCTAGCGCTTGGGCAAGCGTAATGTAACATCTGAAACAGTAATGGATAAAATTGAACTATCGTTTTAAAGTGAAAGATTTCCAATTACCTATCAGTTAAAGGTGTTATCACCAGTCGATCCGTACAACCCAAATATTCGTTTTGGTATGAGAAGTTTACGTCTGTTATGATTATTAAGGTTTTATCTTGTTCTTCTTTAAAGTAAAACCTGCATTGCTTGAGCCACTCGAAATCGTTTACGTGTCTGACGTTCAGACGGCACTGAAATACAAATTAAATTTATAATCTAGAGAAACGCGATCTTAAAATGTAGCTGAAAATATAATTATTGTGCTACTAGATTTGTAACGCGCTTTTTTTGAGGTTTGTCAAGTTCAAGAAAGTTTTACTTCTCAGAGTTGTAATGTTGCTAGTAGAATTAAGAGCTTTGTATCCATCTCGACTTGTAAATGTTTTTTCCAGGTCTTAAGCACTCTAAACCTGTAAATTACTAGTTTAGGCACATAAATAACTATTACCAAAATATCGAATATATCCCGTTGATGAACATGGATCGTAATTAACGTTTCGAATTTTGTTCTCTCTATTTTAGTTAGATCCCGTGTTGTTTGATCGATTAAGGTATTCAACAGTTCCAGGAACTTATTGTTTGTATCAGGCATGACTTTCTTATCGTGCCTGGCTTGCATTAGCGCTAATTCGGAGTCTCGGGTCCAAATCATTTGAAGGCCCAGTAATCCAATCTGAAACAAAATTAAGTTGTTCGATTTTGCAATAATTCATAGACATATAATATATAATACAGATAAGAGTACAAATATTGCTATTGTTCATGAACATGGATAAAATAGTCAAGACGATAAAAAACATGGTAATAGGATAAAGGAACTTGGCTACTGATAGCAAAATCGAAAATAAAATGTAGAAACTAATAAACCTATGGATAAGAAATAAAAAACATAAGAATGGAAGAAAATATAGATAAAACCAAAGTGACGATTGTACGGAAAATTCCACACCTGTAATTTTGAACCAATCAAAATACGTGTTTTTGACAGATCACCATGGCAACGGAGGTATTTTAGTGGAAATTTTTTTCTCGTGGGGTACCCAACAGCGAATTATACTGGAAATTTTTTGACGTTTACAATAACAGACCATTTTTGACAGACTGGTTTTTATTTGTTCACATAATAGGTTTAGTTTTGATACATTTTAGTTACAATGCTAAGGTATTTTCTATATTCTTCGGCCACTTCTTTTCCTCTTAATGGCGAAAATGCAGGACTTTGGATGCTTTGAATTATGTGTCTATGTCTAATAAAATATATATAATATTTAGACACTAATTTATTCACCTTTTTCCCATTCCGCACTTTGAATTTTGCGTAGTTTAGGTGCAAATATTCGTGGACAATTCGGAACAAATTTTCGTTTTTCAAGTTGGGGCCACAATCCTCTATTAATCCGAGTAAGTAAGTCATGGTGCAATGATTGATCATTACATCAGACAATTTCACGCATATTTTGCATAGCGTATGATTTTCAAATCGATTCATTTTTAAACAAATAGGTAATTTTGTTGGTTTTACTTGCTGTGCAATATTCTTTATCGCAACAAAACGCGAGTTATTTAATGTTTTGCACTGTCAAAATACAATGATCACAGCCTCCTACGATTGATGCTTGCTGACGCTGGTTATGAATTTCATACCATTTTAAAGCGCTCATAACGCATGTTAATAAAAACGCAGAAAAACAATTTTCTACCACTTGTAGTTATTCAAAACTTACGTAAAATTAAAGAATATACTATTTTCTATTTTCAAATGGTATTCCCATGCAACTACAATGAGTAGAAATAAGCAATTTGAAGGCCTAAATAATTGCAGCGAAACATTTTTTTACGTCGGGCCGCTTGACAACTTTAAAACTGAAATTATATTCGAGGTTAGGGTCTCACTTAGTTACCATGACAACTCAACAATCAAGGCGACAACACCTTTTATGTTTCACTGATGACTTGGAGAAAATAATTTGCATTGTTGAGAAACGAAAAATAAATTTTAAAAATATTTAATTTTCAACCATAATTCGGCGTGGAATTTTCTTACCGAATACCACGCGAGGTCAAATTAATATCAGGAAATTTTTTCTCGCTCATGAATATTTTTAGAAAATTTCCCTCGTCTGCGACTCGGGAAATTTTCAAAATATTCATGAGCTCGAAAAAATTTCCGGAAATAATTTGACCTCTAGTGGTATTACTAGTGAAAACAGAGGGATGATAGAAATAATAAAAAAATATTAAAAAAACTAAATGAAAAGACTTAATACTAGAAAGCATATTAACCTCTAAATACATAGGAAGTATAGGCTGTTGCACTTTATAGTAGAAAATCGTCTCGCTTTACACATGTTAGACATGAAGGAAGGTTGGGTAGTAGCCGGAACAGGGACGGTGCTCCCAAATGGACTTTCAAAATTTATGTTTTCTGATGTTTGGGGAACAAACATGATAATATTAATATTTCGTAAGAATGTTTGTCAGATTATATTGTGCAATTAAAAAGGTTAATGACTATGAGATATCGGAAAAAAATTGATGAATTGAAATGTAGTATTTGAAATCTCTCAATTATACTAAAGGTTTGATAAAAAAAAAATGACAGGAGAACACTTGACAACATCGCATTTAAGATTTATTTGAAATAATTTTGAAGGATTAAAAGAATAAATTTGAAAACATAAACATACAAACCCTCAATTTTATATTTAAAACCAAAACATACCTACACACATTTAAAATAAAAAATTTCTCGCACACCAATAACTACTAAAAAACCAAAAAGAGTTGATAATAAATTTTTTAGAACAGCAAAATTTGCTTCACGGTGGGAAAATAAACTCAATAGATACAACGAAATTGGTTCTATAATATTAACTATAGCTACATCTATAAAAACCGAAAAATATTTTTAAAATCTACATTTGGCAACTAAAATAGATCGCTCAAGTTTCTAAGTGATGTTTGATGTAATCGAAATTCGGTTCTAAAATATTCTATATAATAGATGTATCTACATTATAAATGTGTTGTACTTTATTATACCTTTCTTCCTTTTCCAGTAACTCTTCAATCAAAATTTCTCCAATCATGTCTGTTGTGAAAAGTCCCAACATTTTGTCTATTATTCTTTGTGTTAACAGTCTTTGTAGAATGTTATTTAAATATTAGTTACTTTTATTAATAATAATTTAATTGTTAATTTTTGACTACTGCCACCCTGTAAAATCCTTAGATGCATTGTGCCCACATACTTTGATTTTCTTCTACGTGCCTCTGAGCATTGTGCAACCAAAAAATGGTATGTCGAAGTAACATGTCAAATTAATTATGAGAGTAGATTTGCTTTTTGGAATACGTATGAAGACTCTAGTCTTCATAGGAATACGCTAGTTCAGTGATGATATAATTATGGTTCCAGTGACAATTAATGTGACAGTAGATTTTTTAAGTACGTTTATTCGTTTTGTTTACCTAAATTATATCGTTTTTTCACTTTTATAGATACAGATATTCCTAAAGTAGGTAGATAACATGCATCAAATATACAATCGTTTAGTTACCAATTATACATACCTTTAAACTATTTTTTATGATCTTTAAACAATATTTAGAAATAAATTAAAAACAGTAAAAACGTATATGTCAAATTTATTGAGGTTTTTGTTAAAAGTTTGGTTAGAATTAAATGTCAGTGGAACCAAAATGACATCACACCGAACTAGCGTATTATCGCTCCCATGGAGGAAAGATTATTAAGAGTTGCCGTATCTTTATAGAAATTTGGCAACAAGTTTGCTTGCAGCGACCTGTGGAAGCGGGTGGTTCAACTAATCCTACTCTGTCGGTAATATAGTTACCTGCAATATTAGCTGTTCAATCATTACTCTGTTGGTAATGCAGTTGCCCGTAATACCATATTTAATTTGAAAATTGGCGGGCTTATTTTACATCCATTAAGAGGAGCATTTATTTTAACAATTATTATTTTCCATCTAATACGAAATATAGGCATCCAAAATTTCAGTTAATTTTTTTTCATTTTTAATGAAAGAAAAACGTGTAAGTGAAGGTAGACGTTCGTTCCTCTGGAGCCACTTTTTTAAAATTTGATCAATTTTGATGGCAAAAATCGCAAAATTTTGTTTCATAAAGACTTTCTCAATTTTTGAGAAAATAAATCAGATTTCAGAATAGTGGCTCCAGAGAAACAAATATTTCACTTTTACCTGAATGTACATATTATTCATTCACTAAAAATTAAAAATAAACTAGAAATGTCCATAGCTCTATTTCGTATTGGTTAGAAAAAGATAATTGCTAAAGTAAATTTTTCTCCTCTTAATTATATTTAAAATTTTGCTTTTTTATTAGCTGTTTGTTACAATTATGAAACGCCAATAAAAATGTAAAATTCTATGACAAATAACTATGAGGGGTAAAATAAATACCATACAAAGTTTTATATAATTATATTTACTAAAAATTCCCAAGAAAAATAAATTAAATTAATGGTAATACAACAATAATAATAGATTTTCCTACACTTCAACCTACATGAGTTAAACCCCAAGAAGAGCTTGTGAGTGGCAAGAATAGTTATTATTATTTGCTATGGCACTCTGGGCTGACTTAAAGATAACCGATAGTGCCATATTATTTGCAGGTGAGTAAAACCCGGATAACCCGCCCTACCATCATTATTTGTATACATTAGTTTATTTCGATACAAAGTACAATCTATTTTTACAAATGTTTACTAGTTTCTATAAAAAATACTCCTAATTTCACGAAAATGTTATTCTCTAAAGATTATCTAATGAGTTTGACTTAAAAACATTCTAGTATTATAAATTATCTCCAAATATTTATTATCTTTAAGAAAGTTACTCTAATATCAGAAATATCACATTATTATTTAGGTGTACGTTAACTATCTTCGGTTAAAATAGTGAATATCAGAAATTGCAAATAATTCATGTACTTGATTTGAAAAAACTAATTTTCTAAATAACAAAAATATTCTTGTTGAATCTTGGGAAATAAGATAAAAGGCAACCATCCATATAAACTGAAACAGAAAAAAAATTAAATGCAGTAACTTCAATCATTTTGTTTATCTTTTTGGTCTTAAAATATTGCCACAGCTCTCATACTAGGTCTGTCCGGGTTCTTCAAAAATACATTGAGAACTATCAGAAGACTAGTTAACCAGTGGACAGTTTAATAGTTGTATCCGACAAATAATTTGGAATTAAACTGTTTCACTGGTTCACGGACAGTTTGCATCGAGTTTTAAAGAAACCTGAACAAACCTACATTATAATAGTTTTGAATTAAATTGTTGAAATATCTTTGATTCTGAAATTTTGACTGCAGTTTAAACGTCACATTAGGAATTATAGGGCATTTTTTAATTTGCAAATTTTACTTTTCTGTTTTCTATAAAATTTATTTAAAAATCCATTATCGAAACGTTGTTCCTTATGTAAGATTCAAATTCAATTGATGACTGACCGTTTTTGAAATTTTGATCTTCTATATTATTGGAATGTAATCTGGAGGTGTGATAACAACATTACTAAGTATTATTATCTTTGATGTATATGGTTTTGAGGGTGCTAAGCAAGCAAATCTTAGCAGTCTTAGTCTTGAACAATTTGTGTTTGTAATCGA